GTTTACTGGCAGGCCGCAAACCACTTCACGGCGTATACTGCCGCCCAAAGTCCCTGGCCGGAAGTCCCCGGAGTTGGGGACTGGCTTCAGTAGAAGCTGCTGGGACTCCCAGCAGCTTCTACTGAAGCCTTCCGAATAAATCGCCAGAACGCCGACACCTCCTCATCTCCACCACTCCCATGTTTTATTTTGTGTTGCCATAAATTAGTCTCTCTGCGTTTCTGCGCTGGGCTAATGCTAATGCTAATAATGCTAATGCGAGGATAATAAAATGGCAGCTTCACAAAACTTGTTGGGAGTTTTACGGGGCGTGGTTTTCAATCCGCCCAGCCAATCAGAAATATATCTCTTTTCTCACAAGAGAGCCGCTGGGGGTAAAAAGGTTCTCATGAACTAATTTTAGTACCGGCTCTTTTTGGTGTGAACGCGACAAAAGAGTTCTCATGAACTAAATTCTCATGCACCTTTGTGGGAAAAGTACTGCGGTGTGAATGCGCCTAAAAGCCGCTCTCACCTGTGTGGTCCACAGCTGCAAGAGTAACGCTTTTTTCTGCATTTCTGCATCTATTCCCTCCTTCTGCAGGAAGTGATGGTAGCTCTGCTGCCAGGAGTTTGACTCTGAGTTACCCCTCATACATTCGGGGGTCAGCAGCTCCCACAGTCGCTCCCGGGATAGCTTGGCGGTTTTGCTTTCATCTGTTGAAGAAGGGACATTCATTCATTCATACATACCCTCTGAGCTTTATAGACTGATTGATTGATTGATTGATTGAAAAGTTTATTAACAGCTTGTATATTGGGTACAGTACAGTACAGCTCAAAACATACAATTGTTAAGGGGATGCAGACCAGAGAAAGACTTTCGTCTTGTTTACATCAGGGTCCCCCATTTCCAATTCATCATGTCATTTAAGACATATAAGACATATTTGACATACAGATGGCTTATTTACAATTTACATACAGGTGGTTTTTTACATACAGATTGCTTATTTACAATTTTCATTTTAGATTTCGTTCTAATACATCCTAACCGGACATTTAAGACATACCAAGTCTACAGATATACAGTTAGTAACAGAGTCTAAAATGCGAGTATATACATAGATGGGGGGGGGGGGAAGCTGTCCATTGAACGACAGGTTGAGATTTGTACCATTACCGGGGCCAGTTTTGCAATGCTCTCCCCCGAAGGTGCTCTTTAAGAGAGGTTTTGAAGGTAAGTATAGTTTTACTTTCCTTTACAGTTGTGGGAAGAGCGTTCCACCTTGATGTGGCATAATTGCGAAACGTGTATTCCCCCTTTTTTGTGCCAAATCTGGGTTTCACATGATTTGTGGAGCTCCCTCTGGTGTTATGATCATGGTATTCCTTGACCTTTGGGAAGAATTTTGACATGTACATGGGTACCATAGAGGTGTAGTGGATCTTGTAGACCAGAACCATTGCAAGTAGCTGTACTCTGTCGTCTACTCTAAGCCATCCTAGGTTGTCAAAGTGGGCAGAGGTGAGGTGGGTTCTAGATGAAAGGTCAAGCAGTAGTCTGACCAGTTTATTTTGCGATGTTTGAAGTTTTATTTTTAGCGCCTTGGAGGTGCTATGGTACCATGACGTGCAAGCATAGTCATAGTACCCTTGAATGAGTGCTCCTGCCAGAGTTTTCAGGGTGTTTTTGTTTACCAGAGAGGAGATCCGGTATAGGAATCTAGTTCTTTGATTGACTTTTTTTATTACATTGGATGCCATTTTGTCACAGGAGAGGTTTGCCTCAAGAATAGATCCTAGGTATGTAATTTCCTTCTTACTTGTGACAATAATGTCGCCCACTACAACTGAGAAGTCGTCGGATTTGCTGAGATTATGTTTCGAACCGAAGAGAATGGACTCTGTTTTACCCAGGTGTAATGATAATTTATTATCGGCGAGCCAGGTGCAGATTCTGCCGAGCTCGGAGCTGAGGGTTTTTTCAACCTGCAATCTGCTCCTGTCAGAGACCAGCAGGGCTGAGTCGTCCGCGAACAGGAACAAGTTGCAGTCACATGCTGATGACATGTCATTTACATAAATTAGGAACAGTAACGGACCTAATATGCTTCCTTGTGGAACACCACAGCTCACTGGGAGGGGGGGGGACAGAGTACCATTTACCTCCACCATCTGTTCTCTCCCCTCCAGGTAGGATTGCATCCAGCTCACCGATAGTTTATCAAAACCAATTGCTTTTAGCTTGTCAATCAGAATGGGGTGATTGACAGTGTTGAAAGCCTTTTGTAGGTCCAGCATCACCATGCCGCAGTACTTGCCCTCGTCCACCTCTTGTTTGATGTGGTCGCTCAAATAAAGAAGGCATGTGTCAGTGGAGTGGGATGTTCTAAAGCCAGATTGAAATTCATAGATTAGTTTCTTTTCCGCGAGGTACTTTTCGACCTGTTCATATACTATTTTTTCCATGACTTTCGAGATGGAGGTAAGTATAGAAACAGGGCGGTAGTTGCCTGGGTCCAATTTGCTGCCCTTTTTGTGCAGGGGGGTTACTCTTGCAATTTTGAAGTCTTTGGGTACTTTTCCCTGTTTTATGGAGAGGTTAATTATGTGAGCTATGACTGGTGAGATGGCGGTTGCTGTGTCTCTGAGGAATTTTGTAGTAGGTCATGATGTGATCTACTCCAAAAAGCCCTGAGTGGGAGGGTAATTTATTTACAAGAGTTGTGGCTATGTTTGTGAAAAAAAATTTCAAGTACTTGGCCACATCCAGTTTGTCTGTGATGAGCCTGTTATCTGTCTTTATGTTTAAGTTAGAAAATCTCGTTTTGAGTTTTTTACTGCAGCCAAGCTGGTTATTGACTAATTTCCAAAGTTCACGGGGTTTATTTTTGTTTTCCTCAGTTTTGACATTGATGAAATTCTTTTTGGCAGTTTTGATCATGGAGCTTACGTCATTTCTTAGTCTGTTTCTTTCAATTTTGAGTTCAGTCACGTGGGCCTGGAGTCACTGCTCGTGCTTTTGGAAAGCATTGACTGACTTTTATGAAACTCAGAGCATTTTTTGTCTCTGGTTTTCATGGCGGTCAGTATGCCGGAGTGCATTCACGGCTCAGCGCGATTTTTTACCCTGGTTGTTCTTAGGGGGGCCAAATCATTGAGTATTGCAGAGAATTTGTTTTTGAAACCAAGCCATGTTTCTTCAACTTGTGTACCACTGAGCTCATCTGACCAGTCCAGGCTCTCCAGTTCTAAGTTAAAGGCCTCGCTAGAGTAGTTTTTGAGGTCTCTAGATATGACTGTTTTGTGACAGCCGGCCCTTTGTTTTAGCTTTTTGCGGGTACAGAATATCATATAATGATCACTTAACCCGCATGCTATAACCCCTTTACTGGAGATCCTGGACTTGTCAGAGGTCAGAATGAGATCAATGGTAGTTTGTGTTGTTTCACATACCCGGGTGGGTTGGGTGATTAGCTGGCTGCAGATCACAAATCCTACTGAAGGACTTGAAGACGGACGTGTCTTTACGTTGCATATCCGTGTTCAGGGTTTCCCACACATAGACTATACTTGGGCGGGCCGCCCAGGTATATTAACGCCCGCCCAAGTATATTTCGCGACCCTTTTTTTTTTTTGGTATCCGTCCGCGAGCGACGCCATCTGCGATCGATTAACTAATGGACAATGATCCCTCGTTCTACGACTCCTGTGCCTGTTCGCTCTGCGATTGATTAACTAGGGGACAATAATCCCCACCTGTTCGCTCTGCGATCGATTAACTAGTGGATGATCCCGCGCTCCACACTTGCTGTTCGCGCTGCCATCGTGTGGAGGGAAACGAGAAACGGAGAAGACTGCATTAACTCAGAAGACGCGGACACTAAGGTAAAGCAACTAATGTTCTCCTTATTGTGTTGTTTTCTGACTTTGGTAGGAGCTTCGAATTATTTGGAAGAAAGTGGCAACTAAGGGTGTATTTAACGTAGCCAGGCCAACTTTGCTGCGTGCAAGTTACGTGTGCTAAATTAAATATAAAACAAATTATAATTCGTTTTCTCTTCGGGCTATGCCAGTTAGAAGGACACAGATAAGCTTTAGATAAGGTTAGACTGTTAATTTCCCCTGCATTTACTCCTCAGATATGAGTATTCAAAAATATTTTAAGAGAATACGACGTGAGGATGAGGAGGAGAGACGAGAAGAGGAGGAGAGACCACAGGTAACTTAGCCAATGTTAGCATTTGGCTTGCAATGGCAATAATAAATGCTGTTAAGTCTCAATAATTACATGTGTCGGTTCATTTGACCTGAAATTATACAAGTGCAGTCAACAGTGAGTTGCAATGCAGAGACCAAACTAGATTCAAGCTTGTTTTCAATTCTAGCCGGTGGTCAGTGAAGCTGGTGGCACAAATAGTCAGAGTACTGAGGGAGAGGCAGCAGGTCCCAGTGTGGTAGAAGCAGGTGCAGGTGAACAAGCAGCACAGTTCCAAGCATCCCATTCACAGAGACAGACATAGTATTAATAGAACTCTACCATTTAAATGCAATAATACCAATGCATTATTTTCAGATTGCAAGCATCGCAACTCAGGATGGAACCCTGACTGGCTCAAAATGCCACAGTTCAAGAATTGGCTCTACCTCACCCAGCATGATATGAATGGCATTTGCAAGGTCATATTTGTAATAAAACTTAGTTTTTGTAAGAATTAACACGTTTTTCTTTTTAAAAGGAATGTGTTGCCGAATGTGCAGGCAACACAAGACTCCAGTAAAGAAAGGTCCCTTAAAACGGGCTTTCATAGAAGTTGGGATTCTTGTTTTCCGCAAGGATTATATTGAGCGCCACATCTCCTCAGAGCCTCATCAAATGAAGCAACAGGTCTCACTAGCATCAGGTATATCATTTTTTTTATGTATTAGCTAATTTCTGCAATCTATCAACCATGTTTGGCTCATATAATGAATTCTGTCTTTGCCCTTGGTCTAGGCTACTCGGTGATGCAGGCTTTTGAGCCCACCGTTATTATGGAGCATGAGGCCGTCATAGGTGGATTCAAATGCCTTTACTGGCTAGTAAAAAACGAGATCGCTCACCACACCAACTACCCTAAGCTGTTAAGTTTAGCTCAGCTTTTGGGTTGTGATTACTTTGAAAAGCTGAAGGTAAACCTATAGAACAAGTTGATGCTTGTGAAACTAAGAACTTTAACCAGCTAAATGTTAAATGATCTCTTTTTTTTTTCTCAGGTGGATCAAAGAAACAATTATCAATCACACAGAATAGTGGATGAAATGCTGGAGATCCTTGCACAGATAGTAGAGTTGCCTATTTTGCAAGAGATAAGGTCATCTCAGGCAATCAGCTTAGAGGTTGATGAAACGACAGATGTATCTGTAAGCCGCCAGCTGGATTTACATGTTAGGTGGGGTATTTTTTTAAAGGAATGATGCGCATTTAAATAAAGATGTAGGCCTAGTTAAACTTAATACTTATTAATATATGTGAAAACCTATTAATTTTATTTTAGACACCTGGATAAAGAGGGTTGTGTTTTCAACCACTTCCTTGACCTGGTAACTCTGGAAGATGGGAAAGCTGACAGCGTGGTTGCTGCCATCAAGAGTGTACTACTGAAGAAGGAGCTACCGGTAGACAGGCTCTATGGACTCGGGACAGATGGTGCAGCGGTGATGACGGGTATGGAGTTTATTGTTAAATCTAATGGATTGTGTGAAATTTGTATTGTCAGCTGTTATTAAAGGAAACAAAATGACGCCCTCAACACTACATTTAATTCTTAAACCTAGGCCGTCTGAATGGAGTGGCAAAGCAGCTCACAGACAGTTTTCCAAAGCTGGTTTCTGTAGCGTGTGCTGCTCACAGACTAGCACTGGCATGCAAAGATGCCTCAAATGCTGTCAGATATATGGCACACTTCAGGAACCACCTGCAGGAACTGCACCTATTTTTCAGAAATAGTGCAAATAGGTCAGCCACACTGAGATCTGCCGCTACCACTCTTGGTCTGAACGACTTGAAAGTTAAGGTGTGTTTTCACCAATTTTCATAATACTATTGTGGTGTCATATTATTTATTTACTTACCAGTGTTTATACTTGTTGTTAGGAGGTGAAAGATACAAGGTGGCTATCGCAGGACCTAGCCGTTCAAAACCTCCAGAGGAACCTTCCAGCTGTGCTGGCTGCTCTGGCAGAAGAAGCGAGCACAAGGAAGTGCCCAGTGGCCAAAGGTCTATACACCTTCTGTGCCACATACCGCTTTGTGGCTGCCCTCTACCTTCAGGCAGATGTGCTGCTCCACATAGCAATGCTGTCCAAGGTGTTTCAGAGAGCTGATGTGAACTTTCTCCACATAAAGGAGCAGTTAGATTATAAAGAAATGCATTTGATGCTCTCAGTTATTTGCATTATCCATCCTATTATATTGTTGTATTTTTCCACATTTAGGTGCCAGTCACACTTGTTACTCTGGGGAGAATTCTGGAGGCAGGCGAGACCCCACTCCCCGGAACGTTCCTTGCTCGCCTACACCAAGACCTGGACAACCCAGGTGGACTTGGGGCCTTTAGGATTGCCGGAGAGGAGGAGAGGATCAGGAGGGGACACGGAATTCTGGAGCGCCCCCGGGAAGAGATGTGGGCCAGATTTGTCAGAGATGTAAATACATCCCTTCTTACTTTTAATTTCAATATTTTTTTTCCTTGAACTGAAAAATGTATAATATATCATTCCAGGTCCTCAAACCTTACATCTGCAGCCTGGAGAGCAACATTGAGAGGAGGTTCCAGCATATTGAATTGCTGGGGGCCTTCAGTGTCCTGGGTCCAAAGGCAGTTACCTCAAATGATGTAACCAACATTTCAATGTTGCAGACCCTTACCAACAAATTCATCCCAGGGCAGGATGCCACAGTTATTCAAGAGTGGACCTCGTACAAGCAGCATGTTCTCGTAGGGGCATTTAAGGTTGGTAAATTACCTGAATTAATATGAACTCTCATCTGTCTTGACGGTTAGAATTGCTTGTTTTTGACATCTGTAAATGTTTCAATTATACTGTATGCTCATTTGCCCTGCCTTGGTTAATCTCTGAAGGACAAGACACAAGCTGAGATAATGCAGCTCCTGGCCAGTGAGAAGGACGAATGGGCAGAAATATACCCAAACCTCTGCCTTCTATCTTCAGCGGGGCTGGTCATCCCCGTCTCCAGTGTAAACTGCGAGAGGGATTTTTCAACGATGAACAGGGTAAGTGTTTTGCATGTCATTTCTGTATAGTTCATTTAAAACAAACTGTCTGTTTTACAGGTGAAAACTGACCTGAGAAACCGACTGAAAGGGGAGCACCTGGCTGCATGTCTGCGGATAGCAGTTAATGGACCAGCACCAGAGGCGTTCCCATACTCCCAGGCATTGGAGCTGTTCTTCATGAAACCCAGAAGGATGAAGTGCTCTGATAAACAGTGCCATCTTTGTGCAAAATGCTAATAAATAAACATGTTGTTAAAACTCAAACGTGTTGTTTTTTTTGTTTTTTTTGCGCACCACCCCCCCCCACCCCCACCCCCACCCAAGTATATTTCAGATCTGTGGGAAACACTGGTGTTCCAGTCTCCAATAATAATTGTCTCTACATCCCCCACATCAGCCAAACACCCATCTAATGTATCATAAAAGTCACTCTGTTCCGGTGGTCTATAGATTGTCCCGACTATTACAGATTTAGCATCTCGAAAATGCGACCACTCATAGTGAAACCGGATGTATAACATGCAGTCTGATAATAAACCTGTAAGATAACCTTACTTTCATTCACTATTGTGCCGCTTACCTCGTCTGAGTGAGCAGTAAGCCAGTTTGGCGAGAAGATCGTCAAACTTGCGGAACTCATTATACACTTCAGTAGCGTTGTCTCTCTTCTCAAACAATGTCAGGTATCCCGCCCTGGTGAGCACAGCAATAAAAGTGACACAAATATTCCTGGTATTATAAACACTGAGATTTGATTGACAGTAGGCCTATGTACTGTGTTGAAATGCTGTGAGTTACCTGAAGAGTAGGCTGTAACAAAGGTTAAAGAGTCCGTCCTGTCTCCACTCTGAAGGACTGCAGCCGCTCGGATCGCTCAGCAGCAGCTTCTGGAGGTTAGAGTTCATCGAGCCGCAGAGTTTGGAGAGATTGAGACCTTGAAAATGCCTAAGAAAAAATAATTGATTGTGAGATTTGCTCATTTAAAGCAGATGTAAGTGTTATTGTTCAGTGAGTTCTAAACGCTATGTTTAAAAGCATGGGTAATTACTGTTCCATCCATTGCCTCTCCGCTGAAGGTTTGATACTCGGCAGCTGCAGACTGAAGATCCTTTTAATGACCTGGTTTCTGCTGCGGGTGAAGTCCAAGCCGACTGTGTCGTTCATTACGCCATCGAAAGAGTTTGGGTCCAACAGCACCGTCAAGTATTTGCCAGCAACACGGACCTGGGACGACATCACTTTATTTAATTTTCTTTGTACCAAAAGTCGTTGCTTTCAAATGCATTATTTTCAACAACTCTGGTCAGTTTTTTGCTAAAAGGCTTCAGTGAAATATTATGAATGGCCAGGAAAGTATTAATTGTGTTTATGTTCTTATTATGGGGGCACATCTACTTGCTATCACAACACATGCATAATGGTGTCTTGTTAAAATGAACAACTTGTTGCTACTGTGTGGAAACCTGATTTGCATTTCATATCATAAATGTGATCAGTTGACAGACTTGTTGCTCCTGTATGCAAAAACATATTCAAACTATTACCTTTTCCTTTTATTCAAGTTTCCATTGCAAAATTCATCAATGTCAAAACCACTTATCATTACTTTAAACAGTGCCATATATCAATAAGCTGTACATGACCGTTAAACAGTCTGAATCTGAACTTACTGTGAAGATATCCCCATGTCTGTCTTTCATCCGGGACAAAAACTTTGCAGCATCTTTTCCAAACTCAAGAGCATGGCCCAACCACGGAAGGAAACCTTTGTCCAGAGGGGGCTCATTTTTCTGTCTGTCCAAAGAAAGAAACTTGTTCAAACCACAACAGTTCATCTCCAGTTATTCATTTTAACCAACAGGTTTGCAGTTAATAGTTAGTAGTGCGATTTCATTCAGCTTTTTATCACGTGGTAAAAAAAAGCTCTGCAGCACGTTATAAGCCATAATTATCATTATTGTTCAGACATCTATCATTCAGTGAATTAAAAGGCATTCATATGTACATATTGACTAATATCTATGATTCATATGAAATGTACTAAACATTAGAAAATAACACATTTTTATAAATTACAGTATATTTGCAAAATATAATTTTTCAGACCTTTAGACTCAACGTATTCCAATCCCTGAACAGCCCCCTTTGAGAAGAATCTCATATCTATAAAAAGCAACATATTATTGAATGGCTTTACCTTGTGCGAGTGGAGTAACGGAGCACTAGTATAAGCAGTCCATTAAGTAGGAAGAATATTGTCCATAACATGATTCTGTAAAGTTGGATACTTGTCCAGTCCTGCAGATTTATTCCATCGTTGCTGGCAACTCACTTATGTGTTTGAGCCGGGGCTCAACTGTACCTACCACTTGATAAGAGGCGTGGAAAGGTGTGGCTTGTGACACGAAGAGTTACACAACACTCAGGATACAGTATCAGACACCATGAAAAATACCACATCCTGAGTAAGAAACAGAAACAGAAACTCATCAAAATGCCACTTAACTATTTATAGTTTTTTGTTTCAGTTCCTACCATTTAACAGCATTCACAAAATCCTTCTGCAACATAAAATACAGAGCATGGAAGAACCCAGTAACAGAACATTTATAAGCAGTGACATCATTGTGGTTAAGGGACTTATTTGGTTTCGTAAAGACAAATAGGCACACATATTTCCCAAAGTGTGTCATAGAATGAGTTTACAGAGTTTGCTTATATAAAGTCCTGTAATCCTACAATTCCTATGGTCATGACGCAGTCTCACACACTGAAACTGATGATTAATGTTTCTAATCAAAGATAATAGCGGTTTGGTTCAGGTGATACTGGGGCTCTGTTTATAGTCTTACTCAATGAATGGAAAATGTAATGAACATTTTCCTCACCTTAAAAGGCATACATTACAACTCTTGATACATATGGTCATGCTCATAATCCTATTTATTTTTAAACGTTTTCACATCTCAAAACTAATGTCCAAATGCCCAACATTTCCCGCAATGACGTCATGTTTACTTTATATGTGTTTTGATCTGTTTTAAATATATATATTTGGTTTATATCTAGCTTTTATGTATAATCCTGCTTTCATTTGTATCTTTTTATTTAGTTTGATTTGTGTATTTTTTTTTGTTTTATATAATTGTGTCTTGTACTTTTCTGATTTTCGTTTGTAAGTGTTGGTTTGAGACACCCTTGAGAAGGAGATACTAAGTTAGCTTATCCTGACATAAAATACATTTCTGAATAATACTAGTAGGAAAGCTAATGAATGTCTTGTTTTTTATGCAGCACAAACAGCACTTGTGCAACACTCTGTAAAGCTTGCATTATAATACCAGCTGGCTGCTCAGTATTACCCTGAACCAGCAGAGGGTGGTCATGGACTTAACGAAGCCTCACCTTTCAGCAGCTGGAGAGAAGTTAGGCAGTGGACACTGAAGTGAAGTTAATCTATTTCAGAGGCCTGTACTACGAAGCTGGTTCAACCTAACCTGGATATGTTTGAGTTAGCCGGTTGGCCTAATCCAAAACATACGCGCTCTCGCTAAACTGTATGATGTGATATGCCGCAGACTGTACTTAATGTTACTCTGATCCGGTTACTTATGTTGTGGCAGATATTTAAGTAAGCTTTCTTAACGCTAATGTTATAATAGTCAGATTGCTCTGAAGATGAAGACCCACACACACACACACACACACACACACACACACACACACACACACACACACACACACACACATACACACACACACACACACACACACACACACACACACACACACACACACACACACACACACACACACACACACACACACACTCAAACACACAAACACGTCTGCCACAAAAACCCATGTATTAAAATGATGTTACAATATCTCAAACAAGGTTTAACAGTTTATAGACTTCATTAAATCAATATTAAATACCTTTCTCATATAAATGAATGCATATCACAACTGTTATTATTACCTTTCAAATTTTCAGGAAAAGTTATGGCCACTTGATCAAACTGTCAACACTGCGTCAGCTATAAAAGCGTAATGGTGTGTTCAGGTTTTATTGGGCATATCATTTGATAATGTTGTAAAATGACCATAATGTTGTAAAATGACCATATTTTACATTACATATTTTGAATTTGATTTGAATTTAAATAGGATTTTATCTTTAAATGTAAGGCAATTACACATTACTACATTTGCTTTTAATTTAAAAATAATGATGGAACAGAGGCATGTGTTTGCAGGGCTTTGCAGACAGAAAATAAATGTTAGACAGTCAAAAGTTTTGTAATGCTCTATAAACTCTATAAACAGATATAAGGGGCATCTGATCTAACAAAATTCATACCTGAAACATATATTTTCTGTCTTATGCTTAGCATTTACACCTGGATCAGGCTGATAGTATGTAGACTAAATAAGTGGCTTTATGCCAGTTGGTTTTGTGTTCACACCTAAGACAAATCTAGGCAACATTTTTTGTTGATTTTCAAGACAAAACTTTTATTTTGGGTATGTTTACATGTCCTGTTTATTTGGGTAATTTGGTAGTTACATGAAGTGATCAACAACAGGCTATAGATATTGTGATAAGCTTACGGCTAAACACGGGCCCGGCAGGTCAAACATCAAGTCTTTAGTAATTATTGGTCGATGTTTCATCAGGGGATGAATGATAGACTAAGCGATTAGCTGATCTACAGACATTTTGTCTTCAACCATTTTAATAACCAATCATCACTTTAGCTATTGCTTAAGTAACAATGCAAAACATTTGCTGGATCCAGCATCTCAAACGTAAGGGTTATGCTTTTCTTTGACAAACGTGAAACAAGAATATCTTTGGGTTTTAGACCAATTGGCCATTCAAAGATGTCACCATGGGATGTGGGAACCTATAACATCATTGCTCTTTATATATGAAGTATCAAATAAGTTAATTGTCTTCAGAAATACACAAATGCATTATTTTTTGTATTGCATTGCTGTATGAAGATGCCATCATTTGATTATTGTTGTATCAGTATTATGTGTCAATACTACGTTGGAGATTTGAAGATGAACCGTATATAATCAATAACATTGAAACATTTGAATTTGAATAAAAAAATGTCTTACAAAGTGGGATAACTAGCCTGATCCTGTTCTGCAGACAGGTTCATGTTACAGTTAATGCCATCAAATCCTGATCACAAACAATCTATTTATATATTCCCTCAGCTGTGGACCCAGTACAACAACATATGTAATTGGCAAAGGTTTGTCAGTACACTCAGACAAATCTTAAATCATCCATGAGGAGAAAAGTGGAGAAGAAGGGAGGGGGTTGGGGGAGGAGTCTCTGATTGACTTTCACATCCATTCAGCCTTTCTGCAGCAGCATTGAAATTGCAGAGAGGGGGAGAGAAAAAAAAAGGGCAGACTGGACAGTTGTTTTGCAGAATGAGCTCGGTGCTTTCATCGCCGAGGCTGCCATAGCGGTTCCTCACAGAGCTTACTCCAGGCTTCTATGAAATGTGCATCAAACGTGAATTGTTTCCCGATTCACTGAAGAGTACTGCTGGAGAGGAGTGGTCAGGGATCAGTATGCACTTTTAGGCTCGACGCCGCCTTGAACGCAGCACAGCAACATCGCAGAGCCTCTTAAGTGCGTTTAATATCCGAAGTTGTGTCAAAGAGGGCGATTATTCGCATCTGATTGTTGCTCAACTATCTGGAGAGGACTGCACACGGGCAAACGCTGCATTGTGGCAACCAAGTCGCTGACTCCTGCGCGAGCATTGCACAATCTGTGCTCCCCAAAATGTCATCTCATGCGAAAGTCAAGAAGGACAAAGAGATTATTGCCGAATATGAGACCCAAGTGAAAGGTTGGTAACGTGCAGGCCTGCTCGTATTGTTATTCTGTGTGTGAAGGCACCATTGCGTAACTTTACCACAAGCTTTGGCTTATTAGCGTGCAGGGCTGTGGGGTGGGACACATTTCATTGTTGAAAAAAATGACAGCCATTTATTATCTTTCAACACATATCTTTGATAAATATCTCAAATGCTCATTATGATCATACTTTAATCCAGTGAATCGATGAAAGATGTAACTTGGTTGAACTGGTTTCTCTGTACTGATGATGTGTGCTCATTAACATGCCAAGCCCTGCATGTGTGGCCATTTAAGCCACTGGAGCCTGATGATTCGTTTTTTATATGCAGTTGGTATGTACTGTGAGATTGTTCTGGTGCTGTACACCCAACAAGGGAATTCACCTTGGACAATCCTTTTAGTAGACTGGAGGTCATGCACCTCAGGTAGGCAGGTACTCATACAGGATACTAGGAGACGTCTTGGTACGTTACACTTTCTTCCTAGAAATAAGGTTTGGAATAAATTGGCATCTTACGCATTTAAAAAGACAATAAAGTGTAGTACTTCGATGACATGACAATGTGTAATTGTATCAGATGAAAAGGGAATGCTAGGGAAGATCACACAGCAAACAGTTCATGAAGTCCATAAATAATGTATGCTGTCTGTATGAATTATGAACCATGAAAGGATTTTACTGTCTGCATCTAAATATGTGACTGGATGAACCAGCCAGAGAGAGAAGAGTGTTAGAACAGTAACACTATTTTGGAACAGACTGTGCAGGATGTACATTATATAATGTAGGTGTGTTGTCTTCTTAGTCACAACTTCATGCAGTGTGAACTTTTGTGCATCACCTTTGCACAATTGTGGTTTTGCTCAGCAGGTTTCAGTACAGTGGCGCGTAGAGCATAAGCTTTCTGTGATAATAAGATACCATTTAAACCAGGATAACTAACTACAAAACAGGCTAACATGGATTATCCCTACACAGTACATAGTCACAGGTTGCAATATCAGCATCTTCTCAGACCTTTTGGTTTAAAATCAGGATCACACTAATCTAAAACACCCAACCTACAAAGTTGAGTTCAAGTTGAAGGTGCCACTGTGAACTCATGGTGTGTGAATCAATCTATCTATCTATCTATCGATATATATATTATATATATATATATATATATATATATATACACATATACATCTAAATATATATATATATATATATATCTAAATGATCTAGCAGAAATGACCCAACCTTGTAAGCATGTGTCTGGAATGATTAGCATTTTGCAGACAGAGGTGTGGTTTACTTTCTTCCAGCCATTCTCTTTGTCTGTTTATTTGTTTGACATCTTCACTCTCACTCTTTCAGACACACACAATCTCTCTCTCACTCACTCACTCACTCACTCACTCACTCACTCACTCACTCACTGGTCTCCACTCAAGCTTTGAGAGAGCCATCACAGCTCCGTCTCTCGTCTCAGTTTCAGAAAAAGCTTTCAAGCTGACATCTTAAGCTCATTTGCAAACTGGGCTTGAATCATTTTGGAGCTGTGGGGGCTTTACTCTGACACTGACACTGGCCTCCAATAATGCTGAGTTGCTCACTGCATGGTAGTTCAATCAGGCGCAATCATAATGCATTTTGGGGTATTTTTTTCGACATATCACAATTCAGCAAACTGCAGGGTCCCTGTCACATTTGAACAACGATTGTTTGTGTGATGGTGTGCTTTAAGCTTTACAGGTCTGGGCCTGTAGTTGTGACATCTGTCACTTGTCTTACCGGATCTATTGATGTCGAAATAGTCATTCATACTTTGTACAAAAGTGTTATCCTCATCGCCATCACGTAGTCATTTGAGTCATAGTCTTTTCCTTGTTTATGACCAAAACATTATTTGCATTCCTGAATCGCACTACATGCAGATTTGCTTTACAGTGTTGTAGTTAAACATATATGTTTCCCTCTAAGGAGTGTAGTTGACCGGCCTGAAGTATCTCTAACGCCCCTGCTTATTCCAAAACCAAAACAAGAGAATGAGGGGGATGCCCTTCATCATGCAGCATACTGTACTTCCAGCTGTAGGCCACACTATCTCTAATGCCATTTGATCTGTTTGTGGCCCAGCCGTTTTAGTCTAATGCACAAATTGCTCTAATAGGGTATTTTGTAAACCGTTTGTTGTCAAATTTGCTGTTGCTAAGGTAACATGTGGCAATGCAGGAGTTGTGTAACATACATTTTTCAAAGATATCTGTCCTTAAATTCTTATAAAATAATGAAAATAGGACTGTTACAATCGCTATATTGTTGTTTTAGAGATTTGATATGATCATACAAGCTTGGTGACAATCTGACTGTCACAAAGTAGCATCTCACTCCTCCTGCCACCACTGTACAGAGATGCATTCCTGGAGAAACATGCAGACACAGCCCTCTGTGTGTGTATTCATCATAATGAAAGAATGCTCAGACTGATACTGTCTTGAAATGTCAGTGTTGCGACAGTGAAACAATATCTGTGTTTCCAGTGTCTTCGTAACACTGTTGCTATGATGACAGGTACATACCCTCAGTTGAAGATATAAAGAGAAAATCACTTAGAATTCTGCTCAGTACGTCCTAGATTTTCCTGTCCTGTGGTTGCACAAATCGCTATGCATTTCCTTGTTATAGATATGTGAGAGAGAAAGAGAGAAAGAGAGAGAGGGGAAGAAATGTGAAGCAAATAAACTGTAAATGCATACCATAGCCATTACTGCATCCGGAAGACAAGTGTTCACAGAACACAGCCTTGATTTGTACCAAATTATGTCAACGTGTCAGTCTGGGTTAAGCATGTGACTAGCCACGCATGGCTAACTGCAGACACAGCCCCGGAGACTGCTGCTGGCCATTGCAAAAACTGTGCTAAATTTGAGCTACCGTGGTGACAAGAATGTGATATTTGGGGCTCTATGCTGCCGCAGTACAGGAGCTGGTAACCCTGCAAGGCAAACGTGACCGATAGCTTCCCCCTATTTCATGGCATTATCTGTCAAAGATCCATGTAGCATCTAGACATGCAGTGTTTGAACTTGGTGAGCGGATGTTTTTTCTCCTTTTGAATGTGCAGATTAAAGGAAGTGGTGAGCCTCCATAAAAACTGAGCATAGGCAGGTAGTTTTTATTTTTAAAGACACAAACCTTCAGACATGACTAAACAATGTGGGTGGAGGGGATAATGTTTCAGCCGAGGGAAATTATGTCTCATTATTCTAGTTTTCAAACTACAAGTCTACAACATGATTGTGTGAGTGTTAATGTAAATTCTCAATTATGACCAGAATAAGAATTTTCCTCAATGTTATCCTTGACTGAGTATTAATTAATGCTTTAAGTGCTTGTTAAAGTCACACATATAACAAACAGGTCTTATTAAGGAAGTTCCCCCTAAAGTCTTAGGGTGTTTTATTTTACATGTTCATAGGCAGCAGATATATTGGTCTAGCATACAACATTGTATATTATGTCATCAATACAAATAAAGAAAATAATCCCAGAATTTAGGTTTTGAGGCTTATTCCTTGGTTTATTCACATGGACTCCTCGCCGGCTTCCTCGTAATTATGCATTGCTCTGCAAAGGCTTGAATCATTCATTGAATGTATTGCAGAGTAGTCCCTAGTAGCAGTTTAGGTTCTAAAAATAACATGCTCACAGGAGAGCGAATGCAAATATCACGAGTGTATTTAATGTCTTGCTGGTAAAATGCTGTGGTTAAATCCATTTATATTTGCTCTTTATTTTCTCTGTTCATTCTTTAACAATGCAACCATTTCATTAAGAGTGATTAAAGTCACACAGGCCAACAACAAATGATGATGTTCAGGGCTCTAATTCAGCGCAGGAGTACATTGCAGTGACTTTTATTTCTATTTTAAACTTGATTACTGCTTGGTTTATCAGCACAGGCTTTTTATTGAGTATTTCAAGGCAGAGAAAGTTGCCCTTGTCCTTGGCCATTATGCTAAACAGCCTGACTGCGACTGTCAGAACAGGGAACTGGCCTGCTCTCATTGGGATTCCTCCAGAGGCATGTAACCAGGCAACTGGGCAACTATGGGGACCACGAGGGGTACATCTCCTAACAGCAAGGGACTACATATTTACTCTGTCTTGCTAGCTCTTTCATTCATGTATTGGGTCTCGCAGAAGATTTTGTAGGCTTTATTCTAAATCTTTTTTATTGTAGATTCAGACAAAACATTTGGAACTGAACTAATAGGTTTTCTTCTGCTGGGCCATCTTTTCCATTGATATTCTTCACAGTTTCTATCATTGTACAGCAATCATGTGCAAGGTTGGAACAGCCTATCTTAATAAAATCTTCAGCTATCTTAATAATACTCAATGGTTTCTTATCTTTAAAAGAGTAAAGTCCTCCCCCCAGGCTGTGTGTGCTAGGTCTCTAATAATAATAATAATGTGTTTTTCTTGAAACTCAAAGACACTTTACAGAGTAAAAATTCATAAAAACAACTCACTTAAACTATGCTGCAAATGTCTGACCTCCAAGTTGATGATTTAAAAAATTTAGTGAAATATTAAGAGTTCAATGTCCAAGTCTGATGTTACACTACATGTTCATTTTGTGGTTTAAGAAAGATAATTAGGCAATTTAGATAAATTGGTTGGCCTTCTTTGCTGGCATAACTTTTTTTAATTATGTTTTGTTATTTATCTATAGTTAGTTGCATGCTAGCTTGCAGTGCTATACTTTCACAGTAGCTTCCACTACACAAGGGATATAAATAGAGATTTAGAAGAATATCCATATCAATATCGTTATAGTGATCACTCAGCCATAGGCTCTCGTAAGATTTATGGTTTGTCTGCATCCACACATTCACAAGCCTTTTAGCCACTGGATTTATGACAGCCTTGCAAAAGCAGTATATGGACGAAATAAAATATTATTTGTGTATCTTGTTAATGTTAATGGAAGACTGTAAAAGAGACGGGACTTACGTTTACGTTTTTGTTTATCCCCTGATATCCTAGAGGTCTATTAACTGCCATCTACCTGCACAAGCTGCCGAACGGGGAGTCTGTAGATTTCTATTCTTAGTCATTAATGAAAATCTTAAATTAAACTATATTACTACCACGAATGCTTCAACAGTGAAACATTTGGCACAGTATCGGTACAAACTTCAACTTGAACAATAAAAACAGGAAACACTCTATTTTCCTAAGTTAAATATTGTTACAACAATAAAATAAAACATATTCTTAAATTACATTTCAACAATGTTTTAAAATATAGACCATACATGTTTGGCTTATCCTCAGACTATGATTAGGAGCAGTGATTTTCCAAAACTCACTGAGAGAAACCACAGTGTTCATGTAATCAAAAGAATGCCCGCAATTTGTTTTTTCAAGACAATTTTCTCTAAAGGCTCGCTCAGCACAATGCATTTTGAGAAGCTGACCTATTTTTTATTTTCCATGCTGTCTGCTGCAATCACCAGACATGCATCACATAATGCACGTGTGCTTCCCCAGCATTTAGACACCCCCCACTCCCTCCCACTACACGCACATGCAGGGTAAAAATTAACTCTGACACCCAGTTTATCCAATTATGATGACTTTGTTATTTTATTAGTGCCTGTGCTTGACTGTATCCTGACACATTTATATTTACTACAAGAACTTAGGGTTAAATGCTGACCTGCAGCTCTGTTTGGCAGGGGGACGTGAAGCCCCACATGTGAGCGCTCTCCCCTAGAGGCTTTATTAATTCTGAAGGTGGTCTCTCCCTCTTTGATATGCAGAGATCCGTAACCAGCTGGTGGAGCAGTTCCGCTGTCTGGAGCAGCAGTCTGAGTCCCGGCTGCAGCTGCTCCAGGACCTGCAGGATTTCTTCCGCCGAAAGGCCGAACTCCAGCTTGAGTACTCCAGAGGCTTGGACAAACTGGCCGAGCGCTACTCTGCCAAGATCCGCACCTCAAGAGAGCACCATCACTTTAAGTGAGTCTGCTAAGTACTGGAATGTCTGTATCAAATGTGTTTGGCCGATTAATAATGTTTACATATTTGTCACGGATCACTGGCACGGCACTGAGAGAAATAAATAAAAAGAAAGGCAGAGGAGGGATAAGCAACGAAAAGGAGAGGAGGGATAAAAGCAGAAGAAATGACCTGAAATGGAGCCAGGGCCAAGGAAGCTTGTGGCCTTAGGCTGCTGTGTTCCTCCCAACTAGGTCAGACTCTTTATCCACCCCCCCGTTTTTCCTCTGTGGCTGTCATTTCATTTCCATTCTCACACTCCACGCTAGACTGCTACCCAAATACTTTTTTCAATGGACACAGAAAACTAATTAGTGCTTCAGTTAGGAGTCTCACAAAAGCAACATAATGGGCTTGTTTACTAAGATATACAGTGGCGGCTGGTGGAAAATGTTTTTGGTGGGGCTATGGAAATAGGGACCAAACCATACTAAGGCGGTCCGGGGGGATCCTCCCCCAGAAGACATTTTTGAGAAATGACCCCTTAAATTATCTGGTGATGTTAGAGGGGGGGGGGGGGGGGGGGGGGGGGGGGGGGGGGGGGAAATTGAGGTTTACAAATATGAGATAATCCATAATCTTCAGTGTGGTTAGCTATGAATCTTCCAAAACTGTGCAACAGTACAGTAGGCCCACACAAACTGCAGAACACTGGTGCTTTGGGAACACTCAAATGATGTAATTCCCATTTAAAATCGTGTGTGTGTGTGTGAGTGAGAGAGAGAGAGAGAGAGAGTGAGTCAGTCAGTCAGTCAGTCAGTCTTGTCAACGCTCCCGATTTTCGCGGGAGACTCCCGATTTCATTGCCCTCTCCCCGGTTTCCTCCCGGGGTCATATTTCTCCCGATTTCTGACAAAATCAGATTTACTCACAACTGTTTCCACTCGGACTTTAATACAGCTACACCATTGTTTGGTTTCCATGGTAAAGCGTCTCTTTAGCAGCGCGCGCAATTCAAATTTTGAGAGGGTGAGGAAGATGAAAACTGAACAAGAATCGACAGCTCGACCCTCTGCTCACTCCTTTCCTGTAAAATACAGGTCCAGCCCACACATATGCTCCATGGTGCTACAGGCATTGCCTTACAACTACAATAAGCATGTAAATGTTAATCTACAGCTCTGGCGATCCACTAGCACCGTAGTCTCCACCTGCAGACAACTACTGTAGCGTCACCTTGGATACAAGTCCAAACAACTCACAGACACACAGGCCAGGGCGCTGACTCGAGATTTTATTGTAGATTATACATTTTACTGATACCAATTATATAATATTTACCTTGTTCATTAAAAATAAAAAATATTGTTTTCTTTTTAAATATATTTTTTATTTTTAATGACAATCAAACATGTGGGAAGAGGGTGGGCGGCGCCCCTAGCGCCCCTATGGGCCGGCCGCCACTGAAGATATACCTAAATAGATTGTGTAAGGGAGAGCTGTGGTCATGAAATGAACAAACCCTACTACAGCATGGTGAGGCTGTTTAGATGCTCTGACCAGCCTGCAGCTCACTGTGACTTTCAGATAATAATCCTACAGCCCATAGCCGTGTGGTTGATTCGAATCAGTGGGCATAAATAAGGGAATTCATAATCAGAATTAACATGTATAAATTAGGGTACATTCAATGAACATTTTGAATGTTATTGTTTGCTCTTCACCTTGAAAATTGTCCAATCAAGCCTGCCAAATAAGGTTTAAACCTTAAAAAGGTAATAAATAGATGTTGATTCAAGATTCATTTGTGAAATTAAAATCTATTTGAATAATCTGCTTTTGTATTTAATTAGCAGTGCAGGAAATCTTAAGAAATCTTAAGTTCTTGCCTTAGGAGAGGCCTGAACTTACCTTACAAAGCACTAAGCACTAAGGATGGTACAATTGATACGTCGGCAGTTGCACACCCTATGATGTGACCTGGCTGTGGCAGTCATGCGTAACAACACGTTGGTTTATTCAGAAGAGCCTTCTCCATCCTCTTTCAGTCTCTCCGGTCAATTGGACATAAAGAGTAATCGTGGTGGAGCGCTCCCATCAATGGGACCAGGGTTTCCGCTAGGATTTTTTCTCGCCGGTCAAATGTCCGGGCAGAATTTATTTTACCGGACAAATTTGAAACTTACCGGTCACGTTTCAATAATAATAGTAAGAGTTGTGTAGCAGAGTTTCCGTTAGCAGGTAATTACCGGACTATGAGCAGATATGCTTCAGTTTAAAACTCAGTTCACGGGGCTCATTTTTATATTGCTTCAGTCTATAATCGTAACAGATCGAACAATTCAGATCCATTTTTCAATAAATGATTCCACCAACAACAAACAACATAATTATTACATTCAAACAAACTACTTGTAGTAGCCTAGATAACGTACATTATTCAAAAGTTTACATTAACTTTGAATAATAACACGGGAGAAACGGATGCTCTCTTTTCCCCTCTCCCTCCCTCTCTCCTGACAGCCCGTCAGTTTCTCATGCAGCTCCTGCAGCTCGCTAAACAGAGGGCGGGGCTTCAGGTGATTATGCAGAGCTGCGTGTCTCGGTCTGACTCAGCAGCTGATCTGATCTCTCTCTCGCGTGTCCGGTTATACTTCACTCGCGTTTATGTCCATATCGATCAGATCCAGCTCTCCTGATCGTTCTTTATATAGAGCAACCGGCAGGTTTTGAATTTACCGGTTTTTAATAAATTTTACCAGCTAAAAACCGGTAATTACCGGCTAACGGAAACCCTGAATGGGACATTGATAAATGGAGCATTCCCTCGAAGGGAGACCCCTGCAAGAGACTCCCATTGCATGACTTCTCTCTGTCTACACCATGCTGTCCCAGTTTCTCCCCCATCACATGAAATGGTCATCACTGTATCTGTCTGTCTAAGGCTAGATTCACTCTGTCTACAGTGGACTCTCTATCATTAATAATCCCACGCAGTCTTCTGGCTCTGCACTCTCCTTTTAATTAAAACAAAATTAAATTGCAAAACCTCAGTGCCCTTCTTTCTTATCGTTCAGATTTTAATTTCTTTATAGCAGGGCTAATAAATCGGCTGGCAAGAGATTGTCAAGGAACATTTTGAAAGCTGCCTGTAATAGAGTGGCTGCAACATAAATGTGATTATAAGAGAACATGTTTTACGAGTCAACATAGTCCATTAATGCAAAAGTTCACTATAGTTCAGCTTGATGGTGCCAGTTTATGCTGCAGAGATTGAAATGGGTATTGTTGTACCTTATGTAGGCTTTCAGGTAAAAAAAAGTTCTTCCATCATCTTCCATGAGCAGTTCTGTTTCACTTCCTTTGTGTCCTGAATACCACAGACTCATCCTTATTCAAGAGCAGGCAACAGTCAAAGATGTACAGCAGGTTCCTGGCATCCAGTGTCCAGGATCAAACACGCTCCCTGCGTGAAAGGAGGCCAATAGGGATAGCTAGCTTGTTCATGTTTTATTATTATCAAAGTGGTAAAGGATGAAAGGAACACCATTTCTGATGCCCAGCAGTCTGGATTACCTTTAGCATCACCATAATAACAGAACTTTTCAAATGTCTGCTATCTGTTAAGCAGGATAGAGACATAAACTGGAAAGTCAACCATAAGCATTAGGAGGTGATTGTAATTTCTGAAACATATCAAATAAACTTGTTAAAGCACAAGTGCAACTCAACAGATGTTGGTATTAGGCCAGTTTCTGATGACATGTTGGCACTGCCTTGGGCACATGATGGTAGCTACAATGTGGCCCTTTGTTAAAATGCAGCTAGCATAGCTGAATCTGTGTGAGCTTCTACATGACAGGAAATAACTCATATTTCACTTCAAAAAGAAAATGAATCCATGAATAAACCTCTTCAAGTTTCAAATGATCAACGTTTTTTGACAGTTGAGAGAAAACAAGTTTTCTTCAACACTGAGATGAGACAAAAATAACTGCTGCGTATCTGACTCAAGGTACAGTCTGAGAAAAATAATAACTGTAGGAATACTTATTAGCCATTGCTTTCTAGAACTTGTGATACTGTTGCATTTAGTTTTTAAGACGTATTGTCGACCATATGATTTTACTGGCAATTATTCATCAAAAAAGTATTTTTTAACTAATTCAAGAATCCATTGGTCATCTGTCTGTAGTTTGCATATTCTGCAACCTCTTCGTTTTAATGTATAAATTATGTTGTGTTGATTACACACATATTATCTTTTGATGTGTTTAGCCTTAGGACTGTGTAACCTGCATCCACTAACCATTCACATCACATCACCATCTCACTCATAAGCTAAAGTACATCTTCTTTGAGTTTGCTGCCTGAGTTTAGACTGGTCAGACACTGGTGTAGCTCAGTTAGTGTGTGCCTCAGTTTCTTGTCAAAATAAGAAAAAGCGGTTAGATTTCCAAATAACAAGCAATCTGATGGTTTTTAGTATGAAAATATGTTTTTTTTTCTTTTTAAATGAACTTCTCTAAAACGTCTTAGATCTTCAAAGAAAAACGCATCATCACTCATCTATAGCTGCTGACTGTTTTGTGATATGATGAAACTTCTGTGGGTGCAAATCAGCACAGATGCCCATCAGTGAGTGAACTTCATTTTGAGTATCCTCTTCCCTGTTAACAAAGACATGCAAAGGGGGAAAATCATAATTTCCTTTCAACAGATACTAAAGGTGAAATAAAGTTAGATCAGAATTTTACTCGGCATGAAACAGCTATATGCCCAGAGCAAAATGCCTTCACACACACCTTTTTAAGCAGGCTGTATACAAAAAAGTATGCAGCATTGTATTAACAATTGTTGAAAGCTGTCTTAACCCTCCGGTATCACTGTGGACGTTTTTGTCCATATGGGTCATTTTTCACATTTCATTTTGCAATAACTTTGTATGTGTTGGTGCAAATGGCCTGATTTTTTTGTAACAAGGCTATTTTCTCTGTTTTTATCATGAAAGACAACAGCGGTTTAAGGTATTCAAAATGGCATTTAAAGGGTTAAAATCGTGAAATAATTACATTTTCTATTAGGGCTGAAGTGGCTTTAAAGATTGAACCCAAAAAAGTTGTGAAAAAAACCTTTTAATATAATGTTTTTATCAAAGTCTTTTGCAGTGGACATTTTTGTCCCGAATGACTAATTTGCGTAGTCCAATCGAATGATACCGGAGGGTTAAGACAAAAGATGAAGACAAGCAGCCCTTCGATGTAAAGATAATATAAATCACATGCTCCCTTGAGCAAGGTGTGTGTGTGTGTGTGTGTGTGTGTGTGTGTGTGTGGCAGGCGTGTGTGTGGGTGTTGCACCCATCAATGCTGATTCTTTGCTTCATGTGTACTGACCTCTCGATCGGGTAAAGTCCCCAGAGCTGGTACCATTAGATCAAATATAAGAACTGTGCGGCCCGTTGGGTGGTCTTCTTTCTGTTTTACGTTGAAGCACACAGAAAAAAAGGCCTGATTAAAAGAGGGGGACTAGTTGCGCAACAGTTGGTATTCTTAAAAAAAACGTTTCTTACTCATGGACAATATACTGTATGGTAATTGCAGCTGTATAAGTGTATGTTAGGCACCTTTGTAGAAATGTGTTATTGAGACAGACAAATGTTTTAATCTTTGAAGTGTTTCCTTGGCTGTTTCAGAAAAGACCAGAATCTTCTTTCTACTGTGAACTGCTGGTATTTGGTCCTGGAACAGACCAGACGGGAGAGCAGGGACCACGCCACTCTCAGCGACATCTACAACAACAACGTCATTGTCCGTCTGGCACACGTGGGCGAGGATGTCATCAGACTCTTCAAAAAGGTCAAAATCTGAATGAAATGTCTGAGGGCCTGCATGTAACCCTGACTGTTACTAACTCACACATTCATAGGACTTATCTCAGAACACATGAATGATGCCCACAGCTGGGAACTTGACGCAACACCAACACAAATATGTAAAAATATGGGGAAATGTATAAGGCTCTACAGTATATCTTGTGCTGCATTGTTTTCATACAGCATTTTCCTTCAGGGGACAAATCTAAGATAAGTCTGACTCATGTGACTAGCTTTACTGTGTCATAGCCAGTTACACTAAATCGTTTGCATGCAAGACCCCCATCCCCCTCTTTTTACTGTCCTGTTTCATATAATGGCAGTTAAGTTGAATATTCTTACACTGCAGTTTTAACAACCTGAAATGTCACCACAGGCTTACATTAGGCCCTGGCTACCATGTGTTAGCTTAGCATGGTTGGTGTGCTTCCAGTTCACATCTTAATTTGACCTCCTCCATTCATCATGTGTGTTGTCTTTCATAAATATCATGCTCAGATTGCTCACGATTACTAACCTTTTCGACGCTCTTTACAACTCATAAGCCAATTCTCCCACTCAGTCATATACAGTATATAGTTCTCAATGCGCCAATCTGTGGGGTTATGGTTTTGAGGGATACAGGATGGAAAACCTCTCTAAAATCTTTATCTCTTCCGATGATATCCTTGGTTTATAGCATCAACAAAACAAAATGGGTTTTTTCTTATGTTAAAGACATAGAATACATTTGTGTTACAAGCTGTTTTCACAACTCGTAAGGCATTTGTATCTAATGAATGGTCCTCAGTTCAGGGGTGATGATGAACAATCTGCTATGGGGATCTTAGATCAGTAGCGTTTGACAGAGTCAGGACTCTACAGTAAATATTGCCCTCCAGGGGGCTCTGCACTGTCACTATGAGAACATTTATGAGACTGGGATGGCTTGCGGCCAGCAAAAAAAAGCGGACTAATGGCTCCCTGCAGAAAAACTGTCTCCCTTCGCAAGAAGTTAGCTTAAATTGTAACAAAGTTCTTCAAAACAATAATCCTGTTATGCTGTGACATCCTGGTTCAGCTGCAGTGCCGTCTCACTGCTTATGCATCACACATCCGGAATGAATCTACTCTGCCGTTTGTTGAGTCAAAGTTTAGATTTACTGAATGTTCTATCATTTAATTCTTGCCACATGTGAAAATGTAGATGTAATTTCCACTGTAGATGGACGACTATGTATCTCTACTTCTATCCACTACACAACAGTGAGATGGCAGCTTCCTTATCGTGGATAGAATAATGCTTTAGACATCATTTGGAGCCAGAGTATGTGCAGGTTGATCACAGCTATTTAGCGAGTCTCATCTAGCTGTTACGTTAGTATCACATTAGCTGCTTGGACAGAAAGACACAACAACTTACCATATCCTGTTACATGAATTTGTGTTTCAGAAATGTCTGCTGACACAGATATGAACACACACAACAGTCCATCACCGCTGGCTAACCTTACCCTTAATGTAAATGTTGCTAAGTTTGCTAGCAATTATCATCAGTTATTGTGTAAATACTGTCTAAACTGTATACAATATATAGCAAACAGACAGTCCCGGTTATTAAAAATGATTGACTATTGAAAAAGTCACATCTCCTATCAAAGTATCTACTCTTCATACTCTACCGGCTCAGCGTCTAGAGAAGCATCATGAATGATGCCACACCCCCTTTTAATTGCATCAAATTACTAATTAAATACATATTTATTATAAACATTAAGAAAAAATGAACACTTGAACTAGAACTACCTATAATGGAGGAAAAAATAACCGTAATTTATTGTGCCAAGCGTTTCTATATATCCTCAACAGGATTTCCAGACTCACTCTCTGCTGGCCCCATTCCTCCTCTCGGGCTATAAGCCGTGTCACAGGACACGTCCAATTCATCATAGGCGCTTAGACGCTGTAACTGAGCTGAAACTGTGACACAACTCCTTGGGAAATGTTCTGCAGTCACTGCACTGTTCTATTTTTGTGTGAATGTGCACTTTTGGCATTGTATTAGATATTTTCTGGTTCAGAGTAATGACAGAATTTCAATGCGTGCTCATACAAAATATAACTGGAACAGCCTTTACGTGTTTCACTTGTGGGATGGCAAATCTATTAAATAACCCAGTTCTAGTGTTAAATGATTGAATACTTGCATTCATCTGTCCTTAAAATGTGCCTCTCGACCTATCACCTGTTCTTTATTTTTCTTACAGAGCAAAGACATCGGGGTGCAGATGCATGAAGAGTTAGTGAAGGTCACCAATGAGCTCTACACGGTGAGTTGAACAACTATTATTGTCCCTACTAGCATCACTTTTTTTACAGCAACCTGCCAGTTTTGCCTTTCCCCTTTGTTAGTCTGTGTATGGTCCATCTGAGTTGTTTTCAGAGCAGAACCTGTAACCTGTGAAGCATCTGGCATGACACTGCACACGGCAGATATGCTTTATCAGCACTGCAGCTTGTACAGGCCATTTGTTCTATCTCCTGAGGTCGTGAAAGAAGACAATTTGCATTCTTCCTCTTACTGTGAATTTCTACATCAGTTGAAGGAGAAAGCGTTCTTGCCCCTGGCATCGACTCAGCAGTATGTGCTGCAGAGGTTCACTTTTCTCACAGCAAACATGAGCTGCTGTAATAGTTTCAGCTAATGTTACATGTAATCACACACATCTGTTTGGGGTTTGTCACTCTGTCTATTGTTTTATTTTGAACTGTACACTAGATATACAGTAGACACCCTGTGTGGAAACATGTCTACAGAAGTCATTAAACATGCTGGTGAAGATAGACAACAGCTGTGTTTAGTGCTGATGAGGAGAATGAAGTGATGCAGTGATATCATCTGCTGGCTGAGGGACAGGGTGCTGCAAACACCACAGTGCTTCCTTCTGGGTCTAGTTGTTCAGTGATACCATGATCATTAGTTATTGTTCAACAGAGAATATGCAAAGATAATCAGTTAGTATTATTTGTATGATTTTTAAAACATCATTAAAATGACTGAGCTAATTTAAAGTCTGCCTCAAACTGAATATAGGGGTAAAATAACCAGACTAAATATGTTTTTACCTCGTAAAATGTTTAAGAGATCAATCATGGACATTTAAGAAACTTTGGGAAGCTTTAAGCAAGGTCATTTACTTTAGATACATTTACTATCGTTCTGTCAAATTGATTGTTACCTATCAAACATTTCAATTTTTGGGTTCAATAGAGTTCTATCTTATCTTATAATATAACTATAATTGTATCAATGTTAGACAGTCTCCATAGTGATTTTGATTTTGTTTGAAATGAAGAAAAACGGAAAGCTGCTTAGCTGTTGTAGTACTAGTATATTTGATTGCAGAATATAGGACAATGTTAAATGGCAATTTCAGGAGTTAATGACCGGTAGTCTAACTCATTTAAAAAGTATTGTTGGTTATGTACAGCAAATGGCTCATTTGCTCCAAGGAAAACACCACATGATCACCACCATGAAATATTCTCACTTGTAACATTATACAGCACTTTCCTGCTTTACTGATATTGATTTTTCCTTTCTCTGGTTCATGCATTATTAAATGCCTGTCTGCAGCCCGAGCACAGCATGAGGAATTGCGGCAGCCTGTTAAGGTTTTGGTTAGATAAAGTTAAATAACTTAAAGGGATATTGGAAATGGAACCTCAAATAGTTTCGTTTTAACTTATATACAAGCATAATTACGTACCAAAACAATCACACCTGATTAAAAAAATATAATAATTGCCTTACGCATGTTAGAAGCACTTTATTGCAGCTTCCCCGAAGTTTTTTAGAAACGAAATGTTCGACTCAGCCAAACCGGAAGTGACGAAAACTCAGGAAGACGATACGATAACAAACCATGGCGTCTATGCAGAATGAACGTGGAAGGGCAAATATACCAGACAAAGAAGAAGGATTGTACGAGGTATCCAGTGATGATAGCGAGTCAGAAACATCCTCTCGGCTTTCCTACGAAAATGTCGTTTTAGGAACTGAATCTGAATCCGGTTCAGTAAGCGACGATGGTGACAATATTGAGCCAGACGATGGACCATTACGTCCTTATTTGTTCGAGCCCGAGTCCGAGGTGATGGTTCACGGCATGGGCAATGGCGAGGATGACCAGGACCAGGCGCCAGATGATGCACCCCTACGCACAAATAATCTTGACTGGTAGGTCCCTAAGCATAGCTCACGCATCTTAAGATCACCTGTAGCCTTTACAAATATTAATCATTGTTAACCAGTTAAGCCCGAAGGTCCCCCCAGTGGACCCCTCCCACAGTTTTTTTCTCTCTCACATGTCTCAGGGCTTCTTAACATTTATGAAACTATTAATGTTTCATACCCTTTTAAAGGTAAGAAACTCCGCTAACTGACAATAAGAACAATTGTTAGCTAGAAAAAACACAAGAGTAATACCAAGCCTTTGAATTAGCATTGAGCGAAACAATGCTAACTAATGCTAACGCTTTTTTACACACAACACACGGTAGAAATGCCCTTATTACTATCTTAACTGCACAAACAAGATATACGATTTAAAGCTGAGACTCCACAGATTCCACACATGTAATGTCATCACTGTAAGACCTCGAATTCCTGGAGCTATCAGCCAGAAAAGAGAAAGTAAACAACATCCGGTTCCAAAAATATTACAATAATTACGTCTTACCTTTTTTGATTTGTGATCAAAAGTTGTGTTCAACGGAATAAAAACGCATCTCAAGGTTAATCCAATGTCGTTGTGTCACGTAGAATTTTTTAATGATAATCAATCATCATATTTATGGCAATATACTCGGTACCATAATAAAGGTCGGCTATTCACATGCAAATGCTATTGAATGTCCGCCATTGTTTGTGCCCGTCTTCCTATGCTCTAGTCATCACCCGAAGATTCCCGACGATTCCCGAAGTATTTCGTTTCATTGAGAGGGCGCAGTAAAATTGAAAATAAAATGAAACTAGGCGCATGAAATTAAAAAAAATTGTTTATTATGCTTATTTTTAATAAAAATACATAAGTTAAACCCCAAATTCGCGGATTTCCACTATCCCTTTAAATTAACTTCACTTTGTTAGTAATATCAGTTATGAGTGAATGTAAAGTCAGGCAGTGGGTGGATCCATCTTTGTCAGCCTGCTGGTCTCTGCTATTGATCTGCTGCTGGGTTTTTGTGGAAATCAGTACTTTCTTGTTTCATGGATAGCAGGGACAGTTGGTCACTGTCACTTTGTGAAATCCTTCTTCCCTGCTGATCGATCACGCTGTCCTCTGCATGTCTGCTTCAGTCAGGGTTGCTAGGAAACCAACTTGAGAGGGAGTGATAGAGGAGCAGATGTTGTTACATTGAAATGTTGATACTACTAGTTAAAGATAACATGATAACACCTAGAGTTGAAACTATTAGTCGACTACCTTCAACCATTTTCATAATTTATTTATTTTGTTTAGTATAATGCTTATTTCAGACATTCAGCCCCAGCATAAGACATTAATGGTTTTTTCGTGACACTCATGACAAATGTGAGTGTGGATTGTCTTTGGTGCAGTGATAGCGCTGTTGTAGTGCAACACACAGTTTGACTAGCTCTACATCGCGAGCACCTTTTTTAACTTCTACAATGATCTGGTTCAGAGAAAAAAAAGGTAAACATTGGCAGACACACCCAGCACACCACCTTGAGCTCAGTTGGAAAATGTAATCGCAAAATGCAAATCGACACACACATGATTAGAATGAGTAAGTGTTACTCCCACATTTTTGAATTTACTAAAAAAAAAGAAAATTCTTAGGTAACATAAGTTCATTTGTATTTCACACGTATCATTGGAAACAATTAGTCATAGTTATGTGGCCAAAGAATTAATAGCATTCAATCTGTATTATTATTATTATTATTTTGTAACTATTTAATATGCCTGCATAATTTGAACTGCATTGGCAAAGGAAAAGTGGCTTTGTTCCAAAGGCCATTGCACTTCTACACAATGTCCCTTCCTGATGTTGGACACATTTGGCACTATGGATCAGCCACTACTTTTAAAACTTTTGCCTTTCCCCTTTAATATTTAAAGTAAAATATTTTTAGTGTTCCTATTGTTTGTGTGTGAATTATTTTTTTATTTTTTGCTAACCAGCTCGCTTAGAACTGCCATTAAGGGAACGAATACAGTGTTTTGCTATAAATGAGCTCTGACAAAATGAAGCAAATCTGCATCATTACAACAGTAACATATCAATATGAAGTGTCAGTATGTGGTTCTGCATACATTGTTTATTCCTATATCATCTATAAAGGTTCCTTGCTTTGTATACAATCTTTGTTTTACTATGATGCCATGTTACAAACTACAGTTTGACAGAAGATGTATGTTGTCACAGGTGATGAAGACGTACCACATGTACCATACTGAGAGTATCAGTGCTGAGAGCAAGCTGAAGGAGGCGGAGAAACAGGAAGAGAAGCACAGCGGCAAGGCCAACGACATCGGTTCCAGCCTGCTGCGCTACGGTCATGATGAACGTCCACAGCGCCGGAGCTCCGTCAAGAAGATGGAGAAAATGAAAGAGAAGGTCTGTTTTGGTTGACTGTAATATACATGATAAAATATGTTTTACTTTACAGGTAGTGTATTTAAGGTCAAATGCATTTGTAATGAATTTCCCAATTTGCACAAATGACATTGGATAATGCATTTAAAGCACCAAGGCGCCCGTCTATACATTGTGAAAGTAATAGATGCATTTATAAGATTAAATCAGATTGATTTAGTAGTCCATTATTTTAGTGCATTAGGAATCCATTTTACATCCTGGCATTAATGTGACTCTCTCTCCTCCCCCCCCCCCCAGAGACAAGCAAAGTACTCTGAAAACAAGCTGAAATGCACAAAGGCCCGGAACGACTATCTTCTCAATCTGGCAGCTACCAATGCCCTGGTGGCCAAATACTACATCCATGATGTCTCGGACATGATAGATGTAAGTAATCAGTAATTGCCTGAACCAAAAATGCAGAACTTCCTTTTAGTCACAGAGTTTCTTGTGTTAGCTCTATGCCTTTGATTGGTTTGTAGCTAATGATAGTGCTTGAATGATGAGTTGATGAAACATTTTGATAATTTATTAACCAAATCAAAAATTGCATACAGACATATGAAAGATTTTTTAAACTTAATATCTTTGGGTTTTGGATGGCAGAAAATAAACATTTAAAGACATCACCATGGACTTCAGAGATTTGGGATGGACAGTTTTCAGATTTTTATTGTTGATCAGACAAATTATGATACTTAAAATTAGTGGCAGACCTAGTTATTTGTTGTTTACTTCTTGGTTCTCATGTTAGCTCTATGCCTCTGATTTGTTTGTAACTACTGATTGTGCTTGAATGATGAGTTGACTTATTAAATAGTGGATCGACAGAAAAAGAATCGCCAACAATTTTGATAAACTATTAACCATTCAAATTAATTTAATTAAAAAAATCAATAAAATGCTATTTAGACAGCTTTTCTCTTTCATTTATCTTATTAAACTGAATATCTTTGGGTTTTGGACGGCAGATGGATTTTTCTAAAAACATCACCTTGGAATTCAGAAACTGGGATTTCTTTTTTTTCTTTTTTGTAGATCAGACAAATTATGAAACTTAAAAATAGTGGCAGACCTAGTTATTAGTTTACTTTTTGTTCTCAGTGCTGCGACCTAGGTTTCCATGCAAGCCTGGCACGCACCTTGAGAACCTACCTGTCCGCGGAGTATAGTCTGGAGACTTCACGCCACGAAGGTCTGGACTTGCTGGAAGGATCGGTAGATGCCATGGACAACAGAGGAGACAAGCTGAAGTGTATGGACACACACAGCCAGATTTTCTGTCCTCCAGCACGCTTTGACTACCAGCCACACATGGGGGACGAGGTGAGTCACTAGGGAAAAAGATACAAGAATGGTTTGTTTTGAAGGTCTTAGTCTTTGACATAAAGTGCCTCTCATCCTGTTTGATGTTCTCTGTGTTAAATCCTCTTGGTAAACTTCCTTTCTTTCTTAATCCCAGGTGTGTCAGGTGAGTGCACAGCAGCCTGTCCAAACAGAGCTGTTGATGCGCTACCACCAGCTGCAATCTCGCCTCGCCACACTGAGGATAGAAAATGAAGAGGTGAGAGTGCGCACAAGTGTCAGAGGGCTGAAGGTAGTTAGTGTCCGTGTTTCTTTGCAAGCAAGCTTTCTGCAAGCATGCTAAACACAATAATGTTATTCTCTGCCGAGTCATATGTACTGACATACAGTCAGTAAAATATTTCCTCTAGGACATTTTTAGGCTGGGGTGATAGACTAGCCAGGTCTTGACACGTCATCTTGTGATCCATTAAGCTTGTAGATGAGGTCCTAAACAATAGCCAAACGCATTAAATATGTTGCTTTGGCATTATGAAATAACACATCCGCTCTTTTACCCTGAATGTTACATTTTTCGTTTAGTAAAATGCTGACAATTGTATGATGAAAGTTGTAGGCTTTGTGGGCTTTTGTACTAAAAAACATTGGGGAAAACCTTTATGGTTATAACAATGTTTACACAGTTTGTATTTTTATATATATAAAATATATTAATTTTAAATTTGGCAAGGTGTTGGAGATGAAGAAAAAAATATGATGTTGGACAACAAAGAACCTTCTTTTGCCCCAGCTGCAAAAGCACAAAGATGTTTACTAGGAGTTAATATCAAAGATAATTGGTTTAAGCAAGAAGATCTTGAAAGTTGGTGAGAAACATTAAAAGACAAACCTTGTATGCTGTAGTGTAGAGTAACATGGTGTGCACATAATAGTCTTAGACATTTAAAAACAGAGGCCATTGCATATCACCAGGTTATTGCAAAAATATTCTGGCAGGAAATGAATGTCTTATCCACTTTCAATCAAATAAAACGCACAGGAAGCCGTCTGCTAAGATCTCTTTAATATCTGCTAACACAAACTTGACATGTTTTGAAGTCTTTGAAAAATAGTTTTTACAAACCTGTAATAAATAATTGAACGTTTCGTATGAACGGTGTGACATTGAAAGTTAAGGAAGCTGCCTGATTGTGGTAGCCTCATATTTACCATACCCGAGTGGTTTAATCCTCATATTCATCTCTCAGTCAAAAAGAGAATGTCACAGTTATTTGAAAAGCTGTTTCTCTATAAGGCATATCATTTCTATCATGTTAAAGGTTTTATATTTAAAAAATAATTATATGTCTTATTTTAAAGCAGGTCTAGGAGCTGGGAACACTGTGACACTATCACAATGGATAATCCACAGAGAAATGCACATACTGTAGCTGTTTTGAGAAAATAGCCCTTAAACCAAGACTTCGTTAAATATATATATATTATATATATATATATATATACTATAAGTGGGGTGCAGACAAAGAAGACCTTGTCCAATCAGATCAGATCAGATTTACCTTTTCGGGAGCGGAAGTTAAAGAGACTAAAACAGAATGTTAAAACGAATGCAGCTTTAAAAAAACGTTTTTTGTTTTTTTTATCACTTTAGCACGTAAAAATGCTCTAGTACCAACCCAAGATACAAGTATGAACCCGTATTGGACATCATTATAGTGAATTACTGTTTGTCTTACTTAAAGCACCCGAAGCGTTACCTTCGTTAGCTTTACGTTGTTTAAAACGGGATTGGCAGCCTCTCATCTTTACCACTGTCCACTAACATGTAACAGCAAACAACTAGTCCTCAGCAGTCACCCTGCATTTATGTTCATCTTTAGTCTGACACTAAGCGGCGAGCATGCTCCCTGGCATGCTCTCCTGGAGTCACCAAGGCCACGGTGACTCAGGCCTGTTTAAAGGTCATCTGGGTGTGTATGCATGTCAGTGCCTGTCTGTTATGAATATGGAAATGCACACTGCCTCCCTGTCTGCCTCACATAGTTAATCTTTCATGTCACGTAGCCTCATGCTAGGTAGCTAATTACTGTCAGTCAAACTTCTGTGGAAAGGGCCTGCAGTTGTCTAATCTAAGGTTTACATTGTGCTGATATTCATCTTCTTTGAACAGCTGTACTGTATCTGAAGCATGTACATTATATATAATTATAATATTCCTGTTGCTTTTGTTCGTACAGCACATCTAATTAATGTAATCGCAAATTCATACTTTGTTGAATTAAAGTCACATGTTTCATGCTGTGTGTGTCAGGTGAGGAAGACTCTGGACGCCACCATGCAGACCCTTCAGGACATGCTCACAGTGGAGGACTTTGATGTGTCAGAGGCCTTCTCGCACAGCCAATCCACTGAGTCGGTCAAATCGGCTTCCTCTGACTCCTACATGAGCAAGGCAAACATTGTGAAGAGACGAGCCAATCAGCACGAGACTGAGGGCTTCTACTTCACTGTGAGTTCTCGGACAAATAAGGGCACAAAGGCACGGCATCATAGAGAACATACCATGTGACAAGAATGTACCTTGCGGCTATTTATCTTTATGTCATCAACAGAAATATAAGGAGTTCCTGAATGGCAGCAATCTGATCATCAAACTGCAGGCTAAGCATGACCTTCTGAAGCAGACGCTCGGAGAAGGTGAGACTTATTAGCGGAGTGGAGAGTGGTGGTAATAGTTTGGGGTTTATCTTTTATTGTAACTTTAGTGATAAGTTGCCGACCCTTTATCTGTCTAAATAAGGCGAGATTAAAGCTTTAAAAAATAATGGGGTAAAGAAATGTACCATAAAACCACATAGGTCAGTAATATTTCACTACTACGTTATTTATCTGGAGTTCGTTCCATATTTTTGGAAATAGAATACAACATTATGTTATAAATATAATGAATTAGTCATTTCCTTGACAGCTTGACAGTTTTGAGACCTAAACGGGGCTATTGGCCAAAAAACCCAGCTAGATTTCCTGGTCAGACTGATTGTGCTTAAATGTTATGACATGTCATGCCTTCAATATTTTTTTATTCAGTCAAATGTTTAAATAAGGAAGTATATCTTGTTGTGTCAACGTGTTGCTACATCAATCTTCCATCTGCTTTAAATCAAAAGAAATGTAATTTAAGAAATTCAATACAACATTTTGGTATACTGAGGGTGTCATTCACTCGACAGCTTGACTGTTTTGTCCTCTTTTAGTTCCAAAAAATATCAGGCTGTCAAATAAATGGCACATTGTAGACACACAGAAACAGCTAGGACTAGTTATTGTATTTGAAGGATATTCCTTGCTATACAGTTTATCCTCTGCCAGAAGAATGCATGAAAATGTTCCATGTCATTGTGTTTCTAATTCAAACTGCTCCTATGGGTTTGACATAAAATGTAATTGTGTCGAAGCTGCTTCACACATGACCTGATCCGCGAACAAACATTTGTTAATTGACTAATCAGCGTACGATGAGACAAATGTGTTGCTGATATCATGAAATCTTCACACTGTACAGATCAGCTCTCACAAACCTCCCACTCTTGTTGCCCCTGGAAACATTTTCACTTTGCAGAGCGTGTAGCCAAGCTATCCCCTTCTGGGGCTCTGGTGCCGTTTCTAGGGCAACCGCTGAATGACTACTGCCTGGCGGGGAGTCAAATGCAGCCATGGCGCTCACCCCATTGAGCCTGCCTGAATAGATGCCCGGTTTCTCATCAACACCCCTTTCCGTCTCCATCTGCCAGCCTTGCATAGTCGGCCAGCACTCAACCGTACAGCGAACTTCTGTGATTGTAAAACTAGCGTATACTAATGTTGTCTCTTTCTCTCTCTTGTTTTTCTTTGTAGGGGAAAGGGCTGATTATGGGACAACAAGGTAAGCTGTCCAGTGACAAGAGTGCAAATAAAGTAGGCGATGATGTGTGAAATGCTTCCTGTGTCCCTGGATGAGATCACAGTGTGGGAATATGAGTGTGTTCTCAACTTCTCTCTTATTTTTTCAAACAAAGGGTTTGATCGTTATCAGAGAAGACAGGGCTGATTTGTTCTTCTCAGATTGAATCGATAAAAACATAAAATATAAATGCCAGTGAGATGAATCATGTCCTGCTTTTCTATTTTTAAACAAGGTGTTGAGCAGGGAATTAACAATTATTGACGAGCCAAGCACAAGACTACTTGAATTCAAGTGTTTGAATTCTACCTATTTTAAACAAAAGTACATCCGTTAAAAAGTCAAATCTTTCTCATTACATTTTTTGTCAAACGTTTTCCTGTAGTCATTATCCATGACTTTAATAAAATGTGGTACAGCAGCTCTTTCTAAGGTCATTTGAAAAAAAATAAGTTTGACGATTGGGGAAATATTCTTTTTAACTTTCTTGCCAAGAGAAAATTAGAATATCAGTACCGCCTTGTGAATTTTAAATCACAAAAAGCTTCCACTTACAGATCATATCTTAAGCATAAAGATCACGAGCAGGATGAACCACGTGTGATCTTTTTCACCAAGTGATGAAACGACTAACCTTATCTAAGCGATTGGTGGCTTTAGCTGAATATTTAGCTCAAATATAGTTTGATATCAAATGTGTTCATGAATGTAAGAATAACTGTGGTTAAAACACCAAAACATGTTGGAGAAAGTTGTCTGTATTTGTATGGCTGTACCAGTTGCATTAGCATTCATATTTACCCTGTACCAACCGTGACCCACCACCATCTCCCCAGGCCCCCCTCTCTTCCCCCCAAACCCTCGAGAATGCGGAAGTCTAGACCTCGCTCCGTTTTTTACCGTAAGCTGTTTAACGGCAATATGGAGGCCTTCATTCAGGTATTAGCCCATCTGTGCTCTTTGTCTCTCCACGAGCTCAGCTGTCTCGCTAGCGGTCCTTTGGGGGGGGGGGTCCTTTTCTTTTGCCCACTCTTTCACCCAAATGTTGGCTCACTCATGCACTGACTTTCCTCTTGCTCCTTGCCTTGTGTCCACAGTCTGCAGGAAAGACAGGCTGAGGTGAAAACCAATCAAACTAATTCTGTGGTTTGATTTAATGAGCATTGCACTGGTGCTGGGTCTGCTTTTTTACATATTTTCTCCTGTGTTCCCCAGCATCCAGACATGTATATGGCTTAATGTATGCCAGTTGGCCATGTACCAGCACCATCACTCTGTCAGGCTATGCAAATAAACACATGGAAACAACTATTCAAAAGCTCAATCAAACACAGGCAGGAAAGACTGAGTGTGCATTTACAACATAAGAGCAGTACAACTTAAAAAGTAGCTCCCTTCTTCCTACACCCCCCCCCCCCGCCGTGCCGTGCCATGTGCCCATGTTTCACACCCAACAAGGCACTGAAGCTTTGGCTAATTTCGGCCAGGCCTCCTCTTTTTCTCTCTTGGTACAGTCTGCTTCTCTCACTAACCTGTTGTGGTTCTTGTTGCCTCTCTTCCTCTGTTCCTGCCTTTCTGCTCTCTGCCCAGGGGAAGAAGGAATGTCCGTGCCAGGAGTCAGGTACTCTCACAGCGGGACGATCGCACTTTGTTTCAGAAACATTCTGTGATAATACTTAAGTATTAGTTGCATATGGTGGTGGAAATACTAACACAATTTGGCTCTGCTTATTTTTGTTCTACACACTTAACATCAGTTGCTAACCAACATTGGGAACACTTTTTTAATGACGCCCATGTCTGTAATGCATTATAAACATACTTCTTTGTTATGCGTTCTAATCCGATATAACACAATATAATCATAGTTTCCTATAGATATTAATAATAATGCTTAAAATGTCAAATTACTTATGATGTCCAATATCATAATTTATGAGTTTTGGGTCACACTCATACATTTAGTTTTTTAAAACCATTTCTAAAACACATTACTAAAGTACTTAAATGTGTTGAATCATTATACAGCATTATAAAAACAGTATATTGCATTACGACTAAGATAATTATATTACAATATGATCCTAGCAGCAATTATGAAGTATTATGTTCCAAGGTTCTTTATTTGTCATACGAACATAGCTACAGAGTAGTTATGTCGATGAAAATATTAGGTCACAGGCTTCTCCAACAGTGCAACACAATAATACAGATAAACAGAAAAATATAGTGCAAGTAAATATTAAAAAGTAAATACAAAAAGAAAAATAGTTTAAAAAAAAGTGAAATAGTGAAATAATAGTCTATTATGCAAGCTATTGGAATGATATATTAAATAAATAGATAAATAATTCCTAAGTTGCAGATGAATGTTATGGATGTTGTTTCAGCAGTTCAGTTGTTTAACAGTCTTATTTCCTGCGGGATGAAGCTGTCTCTGAATCTGGTGGTTTTTGTCCGGATGCTGCGGTAACGCCTGCCGGACGGCAGCAGACAGAACAGTTTGTGGCTGGGGTGATGGGGGTCTTTTATAATCCTGAGGGCTTTCTTCCTGAACCGCTGGGAGTAAAGGTCCTCCATGGATGGCAGCTCCGTCCTGGTGATGTTCTGTGCAGTTTTCACCACCCTCTGTAAAGCCTTACGATTGAGGGCGGTGCAGCTGCCGTACCAGGCCGTGATGCAGCCAGTCAGGATACTCTCTATGGTGCACCTGTAGAAGTTGCAGAGTATCCTGGAGTCCATTTTGAACCTCCTCAGCCTGGGGAGGAAAAATATATTATGATGTTATGACCTTATGGGTCATTATTAAATGCTGATTATTGTTATAAAGAATTATGATATAGGTTTATAATGTATTGAAGACATGGGTTTCATAAAAAGGGTTATAAAAACATTGAATGATTAACAATGTTCTTTCATTATTTTTGAAGTTAATTGACTTGGGGGCTGCCTCAAGCTTCTAGTTATAACGTCCTGCCAGCATAACTTATATGTTATTATTCATAGTTTTCTGTTTATGTGCCTCCAATATTAATCATTTTCAATCTGCCTGGTAGGACTCCGGCCAGTCTATACCAGCGGTGGTTGAGAGCTGTGTTCGATACATCAATCTGTATGGTAGGTTCCTATTTTACGTTAATATGTTGGCTTTCCACAAAACAAAAACCCCTCCTTTCCCCTGCTTAACCTCCTGACACAAACATACATCCTCCAGACTTGTTTATAGCCTTTAACACCTTCATGCTTTAAATGTTGGTTACTATTCTTAAACCTTAAATGTGCTGGTAAATTCAATGGAAGGACATTTGTACATTTTACACTAACGGGTCTATCTGTCTACAGGTCTTCAGCAGCAAGGTATATTTCGAGTTCCAGGCTCCCAGATCGAAGTCAACGACATTAAAAATGCATTTGAGAGAGGTCAGTCCCAGTGTGCCTGGCTATCTTTTCTTGATTGATTTTAAATTGCGTTTTGTCCACCTCAAAAGCCACAGCCTCTTCCACAGGCCTTCAAAGTGCAGATAAAGAGCCCATGTGTCACATGTAACCCTGTAATGGACATGCATATCCTTTCAGATGCATTATACATAAGATCAGCGTCTAGGGGTAATAATAAATGAGGAAGAAAAACGCACTCTCAATGTTTATATTAACCTCCCAACTTAAGATGCGCATAAAAAAAACTGCATCAGTGCTGTGTTACATGGACACTGATAGTAATGAATGATTGAGTGTATTTAATATACGCTATATCTACAGGAGAGGATCCTCTGGTGGATGATCAGGCCGATCATGACATCAACTCTATAGCCGGCGTTCTCAAGCTCTACTTCAGGGGGCTGGAAAACCCGATGTTCCCTAAGGAGCGTTTCCTGGACATCATTTCCACAACCAGTGAGTCAAAATCCAGGAAAATATTTCATAGATGTAAAGTTGTATTTGTTCTGTCTTTCTGTTAATGCTTCCTGTTTGTCTTTGCTTCTTACTTTATATTCAGAGTTGGACTCCGGTGCAGAGAGAGCTCATCACATCCAGCAGATAGTTGTGACTCTTCAGCGGCCTGTGATTATCGTCATGAGATACCTGTTTTCATTTCTAAATCAGTAAGTCCTGCCACAAAAAAAAATCCCTTGTGTGACACTCAGAAAATGATACTAATTGCTTCTGTCTTTCCAGTGTTTCTCAGTACAGTGATGAGAACATGATGGACCCCTACAACCTCGCCATTTGCTTTGGCCCCACATTGATGCCAATACCAGATGAACAGGACCCTGTGTCCTGCCAGGCGCATGTTAACGAGATCATTAAGACCATTATCATCCACCATGAGGTCATCTTCCCCAGCCAGCGTGAGTTGGACGGACCTGTGTATGAAAAATGCATGGCTGGAGGGGAAGAGTACTGGTAAGTGCAAGACACGGTTTCCAGCATGTGTCAGTAGAGTTTAGAGGGCGGCTGAGGAGTCAGGAGTGTGAGTGTGTTTTGAAAGAGTGAATTTAAGACAAATTGTGAAGCCCTTTGGATAAAAGCTGCTATTTTTAAGCAAACATTTGTTGTTAACAGCCTAACAACGTACTTTTTGAGTATGCACAATACTATTTAAAAAACATAGCCATAATAACAACAACTGTTCAGCTATTATTCTTTTATATTGGAAACAGATTAAATAAATACATTTTGTATAATAAAATTCAATACAAATGTTATCAAATATAATTGATATGAAAATGTATTTTTAAAATGTAAAAATAACCATTTATGTCGTAATACATTTGCATATATTGGAAATTAAGTTATAAGAACAATTATTGAAAATAATTCATAAACTATATGACGGAAAGCTTAATATTCATCTATTTGCTACATTGAATATGATTTGAGGGATCGCTGTCTTCATATTTCTCCATTCAGTGAAAGCCCCCACAGTGAGCCCGGAGCTCTTGACGAGGTAGACAATGGTACCGGACCCAACACTAGCGATGAAGGTGAGTCACACTGCAGAGACACCAGCCGTACCTTTAAGAGCTGAAGTAGTCTCAAACTGGATTCTGTCACATTTCTCTGAGTTGTACTTTCTTGTGTTTTTGTATTTCAGAGTTGGAGCAGATCGAGGCCATCGCAAAGTTTGACTACGTTGGCCGCACTCCGAGAGAGCTGTCCTTCAAGAAGGGAGCCTCTCTGTTGCTCTACCTGCGAGCCTCTGAGGACTGGTGGGAGGGCCGACATAACGGGGTGGACGGGCTGATTCCACACCGTTACATTGTGGTGCAGGACATGTGAGTGGGATACATTTGGTCTGTAGGGCTCCCACATAGATTTTAGTTATATAACTGCATCAGAAAATGTATTTAGATAAGTCAGTACCTTGGTTCTGCTGCAGGGCATAGGCTGCTTGGGCTGCTCATTATTTATAGCGCTCTATTTTTCCCAAATGCATTATTCTATTCGTGTTTTTACACAATTTGTTGTCTTTTCTAGCTGTTTAAAAAGCTTACCGTTATAAAAACAGTGCCTTTGTAAGGGGCAGTGTGAATACAATGCCATGTTTTTCTGCATTCGTCTTGTTTCCTTGACAAACCTGGTTGCAATGGAAACCAAATAAATGCTCCGTAATCAGCAAGGAAAGAGCACAAGCACTTGATCACTCCACAAATGAAGCCTTTAATTCTGCTCCAGCCTTTTTCCTGGTAACCAGTCCTGCATCACAGGGCAGGTAACATAATTAAAGCTAAATGAAAAAGAGGATTGATGTACTTTCTGTCAAAAGTGGCTGCCGGGGACTGACAAGTGATTAATTATGTCTGTAAATGGAATGAGGCTTTCTGTGCTGGTGACATTTTTGTGTTGTTTTTGTGACAAGAATTTAATTGTAAGGGACTCCGTTCTTCCGTTTGAGAAAATGAACATCCCTGAGGACGGAAGCCATTAATTGCAAATCAATTCTTCTGTCGGTCTGTATCAGGGATGATGCATTCTCAGATAGCATTCAGAGGACTAATAGTGCAGGCAGCGGTGGACTACAGCACGATGAGAGAGCCCCTTCCAGAAATGACCATCAATCTCCATGCGAACACACACCCGAGCGCCGCTTTGGAGCAGCGCTGGGAAGGTTAGTTAAAGTCGACCTATCATGCAAAATGCACTTTTTGATGTCTTTTATACATGAATATGTGTCCCCGGTGTGTCAGGGAACTCACAAAGTGTCAGAAAACAAACTTTTCCTCCTTCCCAAATCTCTAAAAACGGGGGAACAACGGAGCTGATCAAGATTTGCTGCCGATATGACGTAATATCGGAAATGTGGGCTGGCTTTACGCCCATGGCCCTATCGGAAACAATGCGTGACGTGTTTTGAACATACACTGAACAAAAATATAAATGCAACACTTTTGTTTTTGCTCCCATTTTTCATGAGATGAATTCAAAGATCTAAAACATTTTCTATATACACAAAATAACCATTTCTCTCAAATATTGTTCACAAATCTGAAAAAATCTGTGATAGTGAGCACTTCTCCTTTGCCGAGATAATGATGGTCGTGGATGAATGGCACAACAATGGGCCTCAGGGTCTCGTCACGGTATCTCTGTGCATTCACAATGCCATCAATAAAATGCATCTGTGTTCGTCGTCCATAACATACGCCTGCCCATACCATAACCCCACCACCACCATGGGCCACTCGATTCACAACATTGACATCAGAAAACCGCTCACCCACACGACGCCACACACGCTGTCTGCCATCTGCCCTGAACAGTGAAAACCGGGATTCATCCGTGAAGAGAACACCTCTCCAACGTGCCAGACGCCATCGAATGTGAGCATTTTCCCACTCAAGTCGGTTACGACGACGAACCTGAGTCAGGTCGAGACCCCGATGAGGACGACGAGCATGCAGATGAGCTTCCCTGAGACGGTTTCTGACAGTTTGTGCAGAAATTCTTTGGTTATGCAAACCGATTGTTGCAGCAGCTGTCCGAGTGGCTGGTCTCAGATGATCTTGGAGGTGAACATGCTGGATGTGGAGGTCCTGGGCTGGTGTGGTTACACGTGGTCTGCGGTTGTGAGGCCGGTTGGATGTACTGCCAAATTCTATGAAACGCCTTTGGAGACGGCTTATGGTAGAGAAATGAACATTCAATTCACGGGCAACAGCTCTGGTGGACATTCCTGCTGTTCCATTGTGCTGTGTGATAAAACTGAACATTTTAGAGTGGCCTTTTATTGTGGCCAGCCTAAGGCACACCTGTGCAATAATCATGCTGTCTAATCAGCATCTTGATATGCCACACCTGTGAGGTGGGATGGATTATCTCGGCAAAGGAGAAGTGCTCACTATCACAGATTTTTTCAGATTTGTGAACAATATTTGAGAGAAATGGTTATTTTGTGTATATAGAAAATGTTTTAGATCTTTGAGTTCATCTCATGAAAAATGGGAGCAAAAACAAAAGTGTTGCATTTATATTTTTGTTCAGTGTAATATGGTCTGTGTTTACATTAGCAAGCATCGCAAACACTCAGAGCTAACCTGTGCTGGAGAGAGTACGTGTAAGAAAGCAGGAAATAAAAAAGGAACTCACCTTGTGGTAAACCCGCAAGAGAAAAAGCATTTGAGCTCCATACTGTTTCAGAAATAATCCTTGATGTGGTTTGGAACATGATATGGCGTTTCATCACGGCAGCATTTAGCTGAGTGTCTGGGTAGAATTCTCCCGCATGATGATATAAAGCTTTATACCCAGAATCAGCACTTTAGTAACAGGGCTGAAATAGACGGATATGAGGCATGGCTAGAATTGGGGATCTGTTTGGTATTTTGAGCAAAACACTTCATAGACATGTTTTTTATATATTTGTATATATCTGAGACCTATAATATATGCCTAAAAATAGCATGATAGGAGACCTTTAAGACTCAATGGGCTCACACACTACAGACAGTGCATACACTTCATACAGACATTACGTTTAGCATTTTAAATTCCTGTAGAAGAGATTCAAACTGATCAAGTACCAAAATGTATTTTTTCTCAGGGTGAGGATGCGATCAGATGGTGCTTCCGGGTCACACCACAGGAACGGCGCTGACAGTCAGAGCCCCACCAGAGCTGCAGATCACCCCCCTAAGGTTCTGCCTCGGCCCTGCAGCCCACACAAAATAGCGGTTAGCAGGGGCCCAGCAGACAGTCCCGAGAAACGACGCCTCGCCACATTTGGCAGTGCTGGCTGCATCAACCACCCGGACAGAAAGGCCTTCCTGGACAGCCACTCTCAGCGATCTTCACCCAGCACCACTCGGCACGCGAGTTTAGGAGATCACAAAACCCTTGAGGCTGAAGCACTCGCTGAGGTGAGTGTTATTGTACTTTGAAAAAGACAAATGATTAAAATATGAATACGCTTAAACATATTTCTACAAAGCAATTTTGTACAAACATCCTCATTAAGAAGAAAGCTGTCCTTTTATGCCATACCTAATGTTTAATATTTTATTCATATTGAAATTCTTACATTTATTCTGAAGGATATTGACTGTAAATTATAATATGGATTACATTATTTATGAATAGGACAAACAAAGAAAGCCAATTACTTGCTGCTACCTGTTTTAATCATTACTGCTCTGAGGGCATGGTAATAACTGAAATTGAAGCAATCCATCCTCCAAAGTGCTTTAAACACTGTTACATTTATAATGTTATACACACACATCTGGATTCTGGAGGAGGACACCATTTACAGAAATGTCAGCGTGTAAATCAAAGTATAAAAAAGTCTAAAAGTAAGGCTAACAAGTCTCTCCCATCTTTGGTTTAACATGGTTTTATTTACTTGGTATTTCTCTGATTGTCAAAACATGTTCTCCTTCTGCTTATGTTTCAGGACATAGAGAAAACGATGAATACTGCCCTCCATGAGTTGCGTGAGCTGGAGCGACAGAATGTAGCCAAACATGCCCCTGACGTTGTCCTGGACACATTGGAGCCCCTCAAACGCCCCGGGGGGGCGCAGGATCCGCCCGGCAGCCCCCTCCACACCATAGTGATCAGGGATCCAGATGCAGTGCAGCGACGTAGCAGCAGCAGCTCCTCCTCCGAGACCATGACCACTTTTAAACCTGCTATAGCAGCACGTAGACCCAGTGCCCCTCTAAGGCCCCCGCCTGTCAGACCTGTTCGGCCGGCCCCTGTGATTGGAGCGGGGCCATACCGCTCCAGCAGCTCGAGCTCCTCTGGTCTGGGCAGCCCGGGCATCACACCCACCGACAGGGTCTTTCCCAAACCTCCCTCCCCATCACCTTCCACTTCCTCCTCTTCCTCAGACAAACAAGGTAACATGTAGTTCCAGTCAGTCACAAGTCGAGTGGTTGAAGAACACTTTGGACACCGAGGGATTGTGTTTGCCATCACGCTCCTGCACCTCTTTTCGACAGCAAAACAAACTTTGTTGTCTGTATGATGAATATTTACCACTAATCTTCTAGAGTGTAGGACGGCTACTGCTACTTTCTGACAAACTCTGGGCCAACACATTACCTTGTTGGTGGACAAGTTGATATAGCGCATAACAATATTACAGTAGAATTTAAATAAGACAATTGTGCTGAGCAGACATGCTGGATAAAAAAAGGGATGCACTGGAAAACGCTTCTGTTTACTATAATCTGACAGTGAAACATCTCAAGTTATTAGGTTACAAATATGCTGTGGGCTTTGACTTTCAATCTTGTTCATGTTTCATTATGAGGGAACACTTATGGGTATGTTTCACCACTAATTGTGTAGACATCCAGTCTGTGCTGGTGTTTCTTTAGTATATCAAAACCATGACTCCTTGGCCACATCGGGGCTGTTTCTGAGATCACTCCATTTACTGTAAAATCTGGAACATTGTACACCTACTGTAAGTAACATTTAATAATGGAAAGAAAGTAGTGTGCATGGCATGTTAACTCTTTTTTACCATCAATGAATTTACCACAATGCAATGCATCATATTTTATAGATGCAAAAATTACAGCTGTTTGGCACTGCACCTGTTATGATGCTGATTTATAAATGTTTGAAATTTCAATGTATTGTTCTCTATATGAGAGTGATTTCAGACACAGCCCATGCATGGATCATCGGTAAAACCAGGGTAGAGTTGCATTAGGTAGCAAATCTTCTAATGGCCACTACATGCTGGCTTAAAGGTAATTACATCTGTATTTGAGCCAATATTTAAAAACCTAAAAAACAATGGTAGTATGAAAAACAAGCTGGAAGACAGCAGTTCTTGCTACACCCCAACGACACACACATATCCAACCCAAGGACACTGAGTACAAAGGGCTGAAAGCTTTTCATGGACCTCACCAATTGTTACTTGGATTGGTAAATATTTCAACAAAGTAATTTAGGACAATAATTTGAAACAAGCTACTAAAATATTGTCTTTAACCTAAATCAAAAATATACTCCCTTTCTGTCTTGAAATTGTTGATTACAGTTTTTCTACGAGAGAAAAAAGTTTGAAAGAAAATGTTCCATCAAAGCTTTCCAAGCAGCTTTGTCCTCAGAAAAATGGCTCGGCTGCAGTCTGACCAATCAGTAACCCGTTTGACCTGCAGTCGAATTTTCTCAGCAGTCGACTGTTACAAACTCTTTGTAACTCTGATATTTGATCATTATTTGTGTTTGCTGCACGTCAGTACTGGCAAGCTGTTCAAAAATCTATGTCTTATGCCTGATAACAGGAGAACAGTATCACAGCCAAAACTATATTTTTCCTTCATTCATTAATTTCAGAAATAGGTCAGTGGATGGCAGAGGTAGACCAGGCTGCAGGGCCAGAGTAACACAGAGAATATTGACTATTATCGTTGACATTATAGACATGCCACCCATATGATTAATACAAGGAAATACAAATGAAAATCATAAACTGTTCTTATATTATAGTCATCTCTCTTTATAAAAAGATTAGCTGTGTTACCTCAATAAAAAGTAAAAAAGTTCTCCTACAATTCAAGTGGCTAATGCACTTATAAACAGTACAGGGAACTATGCTGCATTTGTAGGTTATGTGTATTCATTTGATGAAGTTGTACTAGAAATAGGATATAGCACATCAGTACCATTCAAGCTTACATACTGTCTAGATTGCACATGGTCAGTTCAGGCTGTGTGGGTGTTTAGATGAACTTGTTTACTGTTGGTGGTGTTTGTTGTCTGTCCTATAAGGATGATCAATATATCTTTAACGTGTAATAGGTACATTGGATTGAATATATACATACTTCTAAAGGATACTTGTATAAATAACATTGTATAATAGGAACAGGATATATTATCATGTCTAGTCTGTAGATTTTTGTAACTCTTATCCTTGCACAAACATTAACAAAACAATAAATTGGTAAAACGTCAGACATTTGTCTTTTTATTTTCTGGTGATGTTCAATAACAGTGTTAATGCAGTGCACCATATTTGTAGTCATGCAGTCATCTTTAACACTGATTTGTGGTGAAAAATAACATGAGCATACCTGACTGACTTGAATCACAGCTCACTCTGCACTAGAGTGGTTATGCAGTGCCATCTGCTGGTGAGCATATACTGTATGTTAAAATAATTAATATCATCATAAAATGCACCATTAACTATCACAGCACCCTGCATATAATCATAGTTTGCAAGTAATGTACTAAAAGGGGAACAATGCCAATCTCGAAAAAAACTTCAATATTATTCCTTGGGTCTAAAATTGTCTCAAAATATTAAAATGTAACATGCATTTGTTTTACATGTAACTAGCCAACAGAATATAATAAACGTTTTCACACCTACAATATGAAACTTTTTAATTACAGTTAATAATAATATTTCCATGATTTAAAAAAACACAACTCTGAAATAGGCTTTTTTTCCATAGAGAGTACCTTATTTTTTGAATATATTTAGCAGACAATACTCATGTACCTTTACTTAACCCTCCTGTTGTCTTCGGGTCAAATCTGACTGATTTACTACTTTCATCAATCATAACTTTTTAGTTTTACATTCGATTGCATTAAGGCTTTATGATATCCTTCACAGTAGACATTTGAACATATACAATTGCTGATCACCATTTTCATTGAATTTTGGATGATTTAGTCCAGTGATTCTCAAATGGGGGTACGTGGACCCCTAGGGGTACGTTGGGGTACTGCACGGGGTACGTGAGATTTAAAAAAAAAAACACCATGCATGATTACAAAAATAATCTTAGTAGCTACAATAAGTTAAATAGAAAACACAATTTTATATAAAATATTCCTAAAACCTCATAAACATGTCAAATTGGTGTATTGTATTTTATAGTTTTGCATAATATATAATTTTGTTCATTGGTTTGTTAAACAGATATTACTTCTTTTTTCATGCATAAAATGAAAATATCCTTAGTTTGTTGTAAAGGAGTTAATAAATCACACACTGAGGGAACATCACTATATTGGAATTATTTGTATAGGCTTTTTCGATCAAACATTTTCGGGGTCGGTCAGGGGGTACTTGGCTGAGAAAATGTTTCAAAGGGGGTACATGACTGAAAAAAGTTTGAGAAGCACTGATTTAGTCAACTTTGTAACACCCATGGTGTTCCCGGTCATGACTGCCATAAAGAAAAGGAATTAGTAACCATCCGGATCAGAGAAAACACACACACAAACACCCACACCCGCACATACTCTAGATGTGTGTGTGTGTGTCCCCCTTATGTGCCCATCCCACCATGTGAATCATACCTGGCACTCACAAACACACACACAGAACAATTTGACACATTTCCCGCTCTTATGTGCCCATCCCCCCACATGGATCACACCTGGCACACGCAATACATGTTCAGTGTCTATTCTTTGTATATATTTACTGCAGTTTTTCACATATACCAGTAGTCTGATACACTATTTACAGTTTAAAAGGGAGTTAAAATGTGGTGATGATTAATGGTTTTTGCAGTTAAAACAGGACCGGTCAAAAAACCCTAACCCAAAGTAAGGGGGGGGGGGGGACAAAGACAATAGGAGGGTTAATTAAAACAATTCAGTGCTTAACTTTGACTTGTTATGGCGGTTTTTAGATTTATTTTTACCAAAGTAAAGAATCCTAATACCTCTTCTTTATATACTAATAAAGGACTGGCTTATCTAAAGCCGGTTGAGTAGCACTTGAAATGTTTTTGCTCTATGAAACCTGATGTACTTATACGATTCTGTTTTCTTCAAGTTTGTATCTTGTTGGTCGAATGCACTTATTGTAAGTCGCTTTGGATAAAAGCGTCAGCTAAATGTAATGTAATGTATAGTAATGCACTGCATTGTTTACATTTCCTATCACATAGCACAGTTACCACTTTTGCCCTGTGGATGGAGGCATTGTCATCCCGGAACAAGAGTGAAATGATTTACCATTTGATGTGAGAAAAAGCACCTTGCAACATATCAGAGGCACACACTTACTATTAATGGGAGAGGAAAGACAGGAAATCAAATGTTGGGTTCATTAATGTGTATTCATTGATTGGACTTTCCTTTTACAATTTTCCATGTGTAGAACTAAGTAAGTAAATATAGTTAATTATTTTCCACCTGCCCTATTCTTTCATCTTACTTTGAAAATATTGTTTTGTAGTAAAACAGGGTTCATGTAGTTCAAACGATCAACAGTGCTGCTCTCAGTGCTCTGTCCAAATATTCCCAAACGTTAGAGATTTTAGAAGATTTCCTCTCAAATAGATGCTTGTTTATTTTTCCCTTCATCCTTAACCAATATGATCATGGGTGAGGAAACACATTGTACACCTTAAGTCACCAGCTCCAATGCCACCGTTTATTAAACAAGTTTACTCTGTAAGGCTTGTGAGTAGCATGTGTTGCCCTCCATCCTCACCCCTACCCCAACCCCAAGCTCAGCTGCACATAGTATGATCACTTTAATTGGATGACTAGGAGGTCAATTTCTCAGGGCATCAGAGGTCAATGCTCTTAGAGAAATCCTGACCTGAAAGAAACTGATAAGTACAGTGCCTTGTAAAAGTATTCACCCCCCTTGGCATTTTTCTTGTTTCATTGCTTTAAAACATTTAATTTAATTAGATTTTTGGAGAATTTGTATTATTTGATATACACAATATGCCTACAACTTTGAAGATGCAAAAAGTATTTTTTATTGTGAAACAAACAAGAAACAATAATGAAAAAGAGAAAATATGAGCATGCATAACTATTCACCCCCCCAAAGTCAATACTTTGTAGAGCCACCTTTTGCAGCAATAACAGCTGCAAGTCTCTTGGGGTATGTGTCTATAAGCTTGGCACATCGTCCCACTGGGATTTGTTTCCATTCTTCTTGGCAAAACTGCTCCAGCTTCTTTAGGTTAGATGGGTTCCGCTCGTGTACAGCCTTCTTTAGGTCATACCACAGATTTTCGATTGGATTAAGGGCTTTGACTGGTCACTCCAAAACGTTTAAATGTTTCCCCTTAAACCACTCTAGCGTTGCTTTAGCAGTATGCTTTGGGTCATTGTCCTGCTGGAAGGTGAACCTCTGCCCATGCCTCAAATCTCGCAGACTGAAACACAGTTTCCTCAAGTATTTGCCTGTATTTAGCTCCATTCATCACTCCTTCTATTTTTACCAGCTTCCCAGTCCCTGCCGATGAAAAACATCCCCACAACATGATGCTGCCACCACCATGCTTCACTGTGGGGATGGTGTTCTGAGGGTGATCAGAGGTGTTGGGTTTGCACCAGACATAGCGTTTACCTTGATGGCCAAAAAGTTTAATTTTAGTCTCATCCGACCACATGCCTTTTGGCAAACTCCAAACATGTTTTCTTATTAGTTTTGCGACTCTTCCATAAAGCCCAGCTCTGTGGAGTGTACGGCTTACTGTGGTCCTATGTACAGATTCTCCTCTCTCTGCTGTGGAGCTTACCAGCTCCTTAGGGGTTATCCTCGGACTCTTTGTTGCCTCTTTGATCAATGCTCTCCTTGCACGGTGTGAGAGTTTTGGTGGGCGGCCCTCTCTTGGCAGGTTTGTTGTCGTGGCATATTTTTTCCATTTTAAAATAATGGATTTAATGTTGCTTCGTGATGTTCAAAGTTTGTGAGATTTTTTTATAACCCAATGTCTCATACTTTTCCACAACTTTGTCCCTGACCTGTTTGGAGAGCTCTTTAGTCTTCATGGTGTCATTTTCTTGCTTAGAAAGGCCACTTGCTGTGGTATGGAAGACGGAGGCCTTCTACAACAGTTGTATAATACTAATTAATTAATTAATATAATAATTAGAGATAATGAGGCACTTGATTGCACACAGGTGAACTTTATTTAAATAATTGTGTGACTCTGAAGGTCTTTGTTTGGGCTCAATAGTGAAGGGGGTGAATACATATGCACACACCACTTTTCAGTTTTACATTTTTTGTTATGTTTTAAAACGTGCTCTTTTTTTTTTCTTTCACTGACTTTGTGTGGGGTCTTGCCATAAAATCTCCCCAAAAATATTATATTATTTTTGGTTTTAATGAAAGAAAATAGGAAAAATGGCAAGGGGGGTGAATACTTTTGCAAGGCACTGTATTTATAGATTAGCCACAAATAAAACACATGCTTTCGACTAAAAACATATGTATATAAAATAGATGGTCGTCACTGACTTGTTCTGCTTCCACCATCCTGTTTACAGGTAATTATTGTTTTATTTCCACCATGGACAGAAAATTGAATTCATTAAGGCTTGTTTATTGAGATTAAAATGGGAATATAATCAGATAAAGCTCTTTCCCAAGGCCATAAAAGCTGTGAAGAGGGAACGGACCACCCGTGGACTAACACCCATCTTTCCGGCTGTGGCTTCCTAGTTCGACAGGGCTTTTCAAGGTTTGGGATTGTGTTGTCAATCCTCTCAGCATTTCTAAACAATGTGGTCCCAGGGTATTAAGATATAAGTGTTGTAATACACATTTAGAAAATAAACAATATGGATCTGTTTATTTTGGCAACTCTTATAGATGTTACAGCTCATGCTCTGCAAAGCATTTAGAGTAATGCTCCTCTGGCTACAACATTAATGTTCCTGTACATAGTTTTTATTCATTAAGAGCTTTTTATGTCCTTCTTAACTCATGGTAAAGTACATATTGCCGTTGGCACAGAAGCTAGAACGAATAATACCTTCGCATCAGTCTCTAAAAGAGAATGCAAGCAGCAGTCCCTCTGACAGCCTCCTGATACTTTAGGTAATGCAAAACCCAAGTCATACCGGAAACATGGTTTACATTTCTCTTTGATATTCATGTTTCCAATATACTGTATTTGAATAATAATAAAAAATGACTTATGTTTTGTGCTAGGCAGTTACAACATGGATGCTTT